ACCCACTGTGCGGGGATCCCTTGCGACATCCTGCATGGCAAGTGCCCGGAACGCATCTTCAGTTTCCTGAACAAACTGGCTGAGGATGCCGGCTCTACACGCACCACCCGGACCTCTCCGAAGGTACTGGAGAGTGACGTTTCGAGTGAGGCGGAGAGTGCGGAGCCCGAACCAGAAGGCACCCTGTTCGCTGCGCGCGAGGGTGAGCAGAGAACGGAAGCTGAAAGGACAACCTAGAAAAGTTGAGCCCGTGCGATCTTCGGGCGACGCTGGTGGCTGCTGCTGCTGAAAGCTTGGATGGCCTTCAGAGCCTCTCTGCTCTCTGGCACAGCCCATGATGGAGGTGTGAGGGCTTTCCACCAGAAGTCGGAAGGTGATCCTGGATGAGGAAGGGTCTTTCCTACCAGCCCCAGAGCCAGAGCAGACCATTGTGCTCACACCTACCGCAGAATCCCTCTGCTGATTGTGCAGTTGAATTTTATTGTTACTGCGCTTTTGCTACAGTTTTTTCGAAAGGACTGAAATCCTCTTGCCGACCTTGCAGCCTGATCACGCATTCATGCCAAGCAACAAATGCTAACAGGGCACCTCATCTAATCCCTGCAGCGCAAGGGTCATTGTACAGCTTTGCAAACTTTTAAGACAGTTGCATGCATACAATTCATGCATGGCAGAGGGATGCCTGGCACTGGCCGTGGGAATATGCGGCGTCCAGGCAATGTGCCTCCTGCAGAAGAAGACACAGCTGTTTTTCTCATTCCTAACTTCGCTTCCAACCACACGTGAACATTCTTGTGGCAGTGGGTGTTCTGCAGTGTGGCACGTCTTTGTGTGTAGGACTGCTGCAGCAGCTGCTGCTGCTGCAATGGCTCACGTCGTACACCTTGTGTGCAAGTTGTCCATATTGTCCCAATCCAGCAAGAGAGGAAAAAAAAGAGGCTCGGAGCCTGCGGAGAGGCACGCGAAAGCCCCACGAAAGGAAAATGTTTCTGTTGTTTTGAAGAGAAGATGTCTAGATATGGGGTGCGCAACGCCCACCCACTTCGGATATGGGTTTGTCTCTGCTTTGTTTCAGAGGCACATAAAGCCCAAACGCGTCTATGATGACCTTGTGACATATTCCAGGGCTTTCATGTTTCAAGCAAAGGAAACCCATCAGAATAAACCAGCCAACATGAGAAACAGTTGGATCCCCGACAACGCGCAAAGATGTGTATCCACCTTTGAACAAGAGGGACAACTCTTACACAAGAGGTGGATAGTATCAGTTTGCACACCAGGCATAAGATCTCATCTGCATACGCTTTATATTAATCAATATTAATCAGGCATTGAAAGAGACGATGCATGGTGAATCGTGTAATGAATCTTGTGGAAGCCAATTCCTGAGGTCTTGGCGATGCTGCTTCTTCTAATGTGTGCTTATGAGCCGATGTATCATTGCCTGGCCTCGAGCCCACAAGACTGGCCAACTTATGACTGTGAGGACATCGAGGCAGGGAGACGATGAAACAGTCATATTCCTGAGCCTTTTGCGGAGCAGACTTTCAAAGAGGATTTTACCCTTGTGCCAGTCCTGAAGTGCAACTTGATCAGCCAGGGAGGTGGCAAAACCCAAAACCTGCCTCCCCTTTCCAGGGTGTGCGGTTCACCTACTCGGCCCTTGGCCTCGTTGCCATGGCGGTGCACTGGTTCCTGATGGTCGACTTGGCCGTCTTCTCCACGGGGCTATCGGCCTTCGTCCTCGTTTGTGCACAGGTGTGAAGGGGGTATTCTGACAGTTCTATGAACTTATCTTTCCTGCCTCGTCTTGCGAAGCCATGGCCCTGCAAGGTCCTCAGTGAGATCGGTCGCTTCCTCGTTGCCTTGATCTTCCTCCTGCTGACGTTCGGGAGTGCCATCAGCGTCCTGGACCATGGGTACTTTGAGCCTCAGATGCTATAGCTGAAGCTTCATGCCGACCTCCACATGCAGCGTGAGCCGCTCGCTCCCAGATCTCTACTCACATGCCCAGTTTCGAAGTGTCAGGAAATGCGAGATATCCCGTGGCATGGCCGCACTCATATCTGAAACCATTTTGGAAAGCTGCTACTAATTGAGTCAAAGATGATCAGAGCCCTGACTTCCTGTGACTTCCAGTATGCCTGGAAACATGCCAGGAACACCGTCTTGTGTTTGTTCTCCATCACCGTGCTTCTGTACGAAGATGACTACCGCAACTCGCCCAAAGAATATTTAGCATCTGTGCCACAGCATGGACAGACTTCACGTACCATATGTGTGGTAGCATGTACCGCTTCTGTACAGAGTTCCAGGGCGGTCCGCTTGTCATTCGGTGGGCAGGTTAGCAGCGGCTAGCACATCTGTGCCTATACTCACTATACTCACTATACTCCAAGGCACTCTCATGTACGAGCCGGCCTTGCTCACTGCGGTGCTGCTTTTCGCGGCCAGCCTGCAAGACCACTCATTAAGACTCAGAGCCGGCCAAGCCACCAGAGTTGCTGTAGTCTAGCTTTGGCTGTGCTTTCAGCACTTGTCGCACCGAATAGGTCCTGGCATCGTCAATCCTTCTAATGAACCTGCTGATTGCCCAGCTCAACAGCTCTTATGTCTATATCTACCAGGTGGGACCCGTGCAATGCGCAGTGCACATTTTCGCATAGCTCAAACAGCTCAAGCAGTTGTCATGGGTTGAGGACATGGTTGGATTTGCTCGACTCAACCGCGCCCAGAAGATTGTAGACGCTCGTGTCTCAGAAGGTTGCTGCGTGGACCATGAAGCCAGCACTCGCTTTGGCAAAGCTACAGGTTTGCTGTTTGATTCTCTGGTTTGACTCGCACAATTGACTACTCAAGTCCCGTGTCGTGGTCTGGTGTTGGATGCTGGCAGTCGTGTGGCAGTTCGGATTGCACGTTTGATCAGGCACTTGCGAATTTCAACAGGAACAATTGGACGATGCCTGGCTGCAAGCTCTCTCTCTCTCTCTCTGTCTCTGTCTCTTGCACGATGCTTGCAGGCAGTCGGCGCTTGCAGCTTTACGTTCCTCACCTCTTGCTTTCGCACTTGAGGACCTTCATCGAAAGCCTTCGTCTTGATCAGCCATTGGAGTTCAACGAGGCGCTTGAAACAGCGCTTTTGCTGCGTGGGTTCATGAGCCACTGTCCCCTCTCCACCTTAGGGCGATGTGGGCGTGGCTGGCGGTATGCAGATCACAGAGCCGGCAAGTGAGCATGTGGTTCTGAAGGCACGTGGCGGGTGCATATTCAGATCTCACTCAATCCCCCACCCGTGCAACGGCACCCAGGACTCCATCTTGCGCTTTGGTGGCTCGTGCTCCGCCGAGCTGCAGTGGCCAGAGGAGACGAAGCACCGTCGCAGCCTCTGTTTGCTCCGAGGTCATTGAAACTCTCCAAGCGAAATTTGAAGAGATCCTGGCACAGGTGGAGATCAGGAGAAGCTGTCGAAGGTCGAATCCATGGCCAGGAAGGTGCCGAAGTTTTCAGGGCCTGCCTTTTCTGTCCAAGATCCGGCAGGAGTTGGCGTGGTTGAAGTTGTGCCAAGCATACACTTTCGCACGGGCACGTGAGAACACGCACGAGTACATGAGTCAGGGCACTGGGCAAATGCTTTCGAAAGTCCTATACCTGCAGCCCTTCACCCCACCCGAAGCTGCACACCGCTGTGATGTCGGGGCCCTGCAAGAGGGTGAGTCGGTAATGTTTCGAGACACTTGAGGTCGCTCCAACCATTCAAACCGGAGAAGCCCCGTATAGCCATAGTGTCGGAGACATGTCTGTCGAAGTCGTGCCAGAGGGCCTTAGCTGCTCCAACAGACTCTTGTTATCTGCCCTGGTCCCACGAGGTGCTTCGCAAAGTCATCCAGGAGACTGCAGCGCTTCTTCCGTTTAGTTGGGCGGGGGCTTGTAGACTTGTAGCTTTGCCTGCAGCAGGACACGAAAGGCAGGAGGGGCGGCAGCAAGACAGGTGGATCCAGCCAAGGTCAATCTGCGACAGGCAGATGTGTGGATAACACATGGAAGCTTGACCTACAACATGACTCATGACTCGGTATGACTCGGTTTCTCATCCGGTTGCAGTTTGGGTCTGTTTGGGATGTACAGGTGCCGGAGGCAGCTCAGCCTACGCCAGCGGCATAAGTGGAAGCGGGGCTGGGGCGTGGGCCGCTTAAAAAACCTGTTGAACACCGGGGAGCCAAATCTAGGAGCATCTTGCTGCTGGCTGCTTGGTGCTCTCAGGTCGTATGCTGACGAGTGAGGCCGAGCTGAGCTACGTCCAGATGCGAGTTGAGCTGCGCTGAGTTGCCACCGGTGTGACAGTGCTGTGGGCTCGCAGCGTGCACATCTTGCTGTGTCGGCCAGCTCAAGCTCTCAGGCCAGTCACTCTGAACCGGTGCAGAGTTTCACTCCGAAGTGTCAGGCTCTTCCGTGCTCTGGGCTGCGTAGGCCAGTAGGCTGGGAATTTCCGTCGCAGGGGGGGAATATGGACGAATAGAGTATAAGGACGACTTGGGCTTGCGTGCATACGCCTGATCAGAGGCACGTAGGCCAATGTAGGCAGAATCCATTTTCACTTTGCGCAAGACGTCGGCCCGCGGCGCACGCGGCGCGGCAGCGCAGTATGAGTTCCCTGTGATGGCTCATGCCATGAGATGTCCCGCTCTGTGCCGTCACAGGCTTGTGAACCAGTTCGACGTAGTAGGACTGCGTGTTAACGATTCGGAGGAGTGCTGCATGATGAGTTGTGACAAACAGCTACTGGATTTTGTTGCAGCCAACCTCCATATTTCACAAAGCAACCCGTCACTGCTGTGCGAAGCCACCAGCACAGCACTCGCTCAGAGCACTTGGTGAAGCCGAGCGCTCATGAAATGCTGCGCTCGTTTCCCTAATTTAAAGTTGCCCCATAGAGGGGCACTCATGACGTGGTGCGGTGCTCACATGTACGCGCTCTGCGGTTTTCACGACAAACGCATGAGGCTGGGGGTTCCTTTTCAGCAGCTGCAGGCCCGTTTCGTGCCCGCCCAAGTGAAGGCGTTGCATTCCTTGCCAATCCAGCTTGTCGATGTTACCTTTCTGAAATCGGAGTGATTCCAAGATCCAGCTGATGCAGCGAGTGCAGCAAGGAGGCTTGGATCAGATGCTGCCGCGGCCTGCCTGTTTGCGGATTCGGTGGCGCAATTCGTGATGCCGTACGGGCAGTGAGAGCCAGGCACGTCACCAAGCCCCACATGTTCAATGGATCATGGATGCGAGATGACTCGGACTTGGCAACAATCAGCATGCGCCGTTGTCATATCTGTGCATACATAGGCACAGCTTTTGCTTTCTGACCTAGGTTTCGACTCACCAACAGCTCCTAGGCCTTCTCGACCTTCTCACTCAGTCGAAAACTCGCGTGCCCTGAGCAGGCCAAGCCTTGAAATATGTCCCCGGTCCGGATGTCTGTCTTCGAGTGTTCAACTTGCCCTTGCCTCACAGCCTCACAGATCCGACATGATGCTTGGGTGTCGTGCTCGAAGTGCCTTGTAGGCTGCACCCTCCAAAGACTTTCCCAAGCGTGCAGGGAGATGAAGGCCCAGCTTGAGACAACTTGGTAACTTGGAGCTAAGCAGATGACCAAGCAGATGTTTTGCTTCCTTCAGGTGCAATCATGTCGTACTATTCTGATGGGCAAGATCCGAAGCAAGCCTGGATAGGCGAGCTGATGCAGATGCCTGTCCCTTCACTTTTGCGCCACTTTTGCGCACAGCCTTGCCAGCATGACGCCGATCGCTCTCGCTGCTCGCTATTTGTAGCATTTTTTGACATACCCGTGTCGAATGGCCATGTGGGTTGCGCTCATAGCTCGCAGACACATCGAGAGCAAGCGTGACCATGTGGAAGAAGATGCTCATCCACTCCATGCATTTTGCGTCACATGTTATCTGAATTGAAGACAGGTGCAGAAGATCCGTACTTGATGGGGCCGGAGGACTACATGTGGAGAAACAGGGAGAGAGAGAGAGAGAGAGAGCCTAGAGAGAGAGAGAGGGAGAGACCGAGAGATCCAGACCCGAGCCGGGTTTTTAACCGCTAGATGTTTTGCCTGGCAGGATGAAGGCATATCACACGCGGGTCGTGCCAGAACCTCAGCCTACATCTGAAGGATATAAGTTATGCCTCCACGGAAACATTCCTCTGCTGAGTTTGGCAAGGTCGAGCTTTTGAAGGCCATTCGTGAGCAACGGCAGCAGTTGGACCTCAAGGATGAGCAGCTTGAGGCCACCCCCCCCCCATGAAATTACTGAAGCCCTTAAAACCATATTAATAATCTCATGTCATCCCTTACAACCATATTAATAATATCTCTTAAAACAATATGAGTAACATCCCTTAAAACCGTTATAAACCTAACCTTATAACTTTTACCAAGAGACCTGGCAGGAGCAGAGCCGCCGACTGGAGCGCTTCCAGGAAGAGCTCGCGCGCTGCCTGGATCCTGATGAGGCATCTTCGTCTCATCGACCTGAAAAATCGAAGGCTTATGCATTTCAGGTTTCGGAACTACTTTGAACAAATGAGAAAACATGGAAACTTCTTGAAGATCATGTTTGGCTACTCTTCAATCAAGGCAAGGCTTCCCCCGCTCTGCGTGTCAGGCGAAGCTGCTGCGAAATCGGCTTGCCAAGGCCAATGCCGTCGCCCTGGGACACTGCTTGAGGGTTCCACACCACGCCACGCCGTGCCGCGAGTGATTCCGTTAGAGTTCATTCTGCGCCTTGAGCAGCCAAAGGCGCAAATCACGGATCAAGCTACAGAACTCGACGATAGCAAGTCGAAGGCCGACTCTGCCGAACAGAAGTCGCTGGAGTCAAATCCATGAGAATGCCCACAGAATTGTCGAGAAATCCGTTATTTTGAAGCATTTTTGAGTTGAGAGGTATGAGATGCGTTGTGTCGTTTTGTTGTTTTGGCGCCTTATGCCTTCCGCATCTTGGCGCTGTGCCTAGTCAGTCGAAAGACTAAGAGTCCAAAGTCTAAAAGCGTTCCAGAATATCTTGCAATGTCGTGCATATTGCGCGTGACTGGAGCTTGGGGCTCTTGCTGCATCTTGTTCGGTAGGCTCGCGGCTTGGAGGGTCAAATCTCAGTCTTGACCACCCGCTTGAGGGAAGAGCGGGGAGCCCGGCATGGCTGTTGTGTGTGTGTGTGTGTGTGTGTGTGGGCGCGTGCGCGCGCGCTCGCTCTTGTGTGCGTATGCGTGTGGGTACGCGTGTGCGTGCGTGCGGGTGTGTTTAAAAGCAAAAACAGCATGCTGATCAGGACTGAAAGCAGCTCCAAGCTGGTAGCAGAGCTGTGTGCTCTGCGACGCCAGCTTGAGGCTTGGAGCAAAAGGGACTCGGGTTGGCGCGGACCTGTTTTTTCCTCTTATACAATTGGAGATGCGCGAGGTTCTCAGGATGGTATCCTCTCTATTGGATAGTTCCCATTGAGAGATCTATTCGATCTACCATTCCGCAGAGCAGCATTGCGACTGTGCCGTGCAGGCAGAGTATGCAGTGCGAGGTGAACAGAAGTCCTGGCAGGCCAGAGTGGATCTACAATGGCACATTCCCTCAGAAGGAGCGTCTGAAATCCAAAGCGCCAGGAATGTTTCCAGGAGGAGCAAAGAAAGTCGGAAACTGAATGAAACTGACCAAGGACAGTCGGTGCGGAAAACAGCTCACCGTGCTCAGGTCACAGATTCTGCAGCAGAAGCTCGAGGCGCAGGTCAAGGAGGTGCCCCTTGGGAGTTCTGGCTTCGAGATCCGAGTCCGTATGCGAGCTGAGCAGAGTGAAGACGTACATATGCAACCTCCTCTCAGTCGCTAGACTCGCTAGACTCCTTAGACTCTCACATCCTGCACTGAGGTACGAAAGCATAGGGACACATACGGGCGGCAATGTCTTCTATGCTTAAAAAGGCTATGCAGACCAGCTACTCTCCACATTTGCACAGACAGCATCCAACAGCTCATGGACTGATGGCATGTCGCTGGACATTAGAAGCTGTCACTGGTGGCGTGGGGTGGCCCCTCTCCTGTAGGCTGCGATGCCACATCCTGGACCGGCAGTGAGGCTAGTTGATGAGACGGGCAGTCTCTCAAGTTCTGGTCTGGCGGAGGTTCAGACAGTGGATGGTTATGGCACCATTTGCGGACTCAACCAGGGCGCAGCCGACACAATCTGCAGACAAATGGGGTTTGCTGGAGGATCTGTTGCTGAGGGCACCTGTTCGGACTTTCGCGGCCACCGCATATGTGGCAGCCGAGGCATGCCCGTGGCAATGCAGCAGTTGAGATGCCAAGGCTTCGAGCAAGAGGTAGCTGAGTGTACTTGGACGGTTCCAGATGGTGACTGCCTGGACCACTTCAGGGACTCAGTGATCCAATGCCACGCAGATCCCACAGCAGCTGCTGAGGGCAAAGTACGCCTCGTCGATGCAGAGGGCCACCCAACACAAAGCGGGTTTGGTCGGCTGGAGCTGCTTTTGCACGACAAGTGGAGTCCCGTGTGCAGAGTGGGCTTCGGCATCGGGAGTGCATCTGTGGCATGCAAGGACTTGGGCTTTGCTGCGGTCGATGTCAATCCAGTCCTTCCTTGCACACAGACAAATCAGACAAGAGGCTTGTGTGGAGCAACTCTCCCTCAAATGCAGCTACTCTGTGATGGCAGTGAGTCTGATGTTTCGAAGTGCGCCCAACGGCTTGGTGAAGAGGTGTCCTGTGCTCCTGCAGAAAATGTCGTGCTGCACTGTAAGAAGGCAGATGGGCCACGCTCCCCTCCCTCCACGGCGATCTTTGCGGCAAGCCTGTGGCCCTTGATGGCCTTTGCCATTCGGCCGAAGTCTCGCAGAAGAGATCTGCTGAGCTTCTTGTGACAAGTCGTGCCTCAACGCCGCGTTTCACCAGCCGGGAGAACAAAACGTGAGGTTCGTGAACTTTGGGTGCGCTCGAGAGGATGAGCTGGAAGCCCTTGCATTGTCATCATATTATGATATATTATGCCTCTGGGATCCTCTCCGCACCTCTCTCCACCTCTCACTCGAACGCTGCAGGCTGCCGCGAAACAGCTCGGTGCTGAGACCGCGAAGCAGCAGCTTCAGGTGGATGACCCGGTCATTGGACACCGTTTGTATCTCAACTGGATAGTAGTGTCGATAATCATGCAATTTCGGTTATCGAGTCCAGGAACAGGTCCTGCACTTGCAGGAGTGCTGTGCAACTGTGGTAGGCTGCCGTGGTATAGCATCGTATCGTCGTATAGCCTTCGAACATCTTCGAAAGAAAGCTGACAGCAGGAGCTCTCGAAGGCGGGGGAGCACGCTCAGGCGTGGAAGGCCAAGGCCGACAAACTTGCCAGTGAGCTGCAAGCACAGGCCCCAGACCCGCAGTAGACCACAACTTGCAACGACCTGCTGTGAGCTTCCGTTACCTTCCGCAGTCCCAAGGCATCGCGCATGGCACAAAGTCTGCTTCAGGGCGAGTCTGGGCCACGGTTGTGACATGCTTTGCCTGGCAAGAGGGCCGTCTCGAACCCTTCGGCTTCCTTTTTCGCATGCTGGCCAATTCCCCATTCTGACCAATTTCAAAATCGTCTTCTGCCGTGAGCAGGTTGCAAGCAATGCAGCAGCAGCGAGATGCCTTTCAAGCGGCAATAGATGAGGTGGGGTGAGACATGGTGAGACCTCTTGAGCACGCTTGTTTTGTGCCCACGGCAGTTCGTTCACATGGCTCTGGCATTGTCCTTCGAGAGATGTGGACAGGCTGCGCGCACGGCCGCCAGCCTCGGCGTCATGGAGCAGCGTGCAAGAACTGCCGAGCAAGAGGCACCGCTTTGCCCACTTCGCAGCCACAAAAGAAATCGAAATCACAGTCGCGCAATGACAACAAAATTAATTAGCAAAGGAGCACGGTAAACGTATATGTAAACGTGATTAAACGGGACGCGGATGCTTTCAGGTCGCGTACCTGACGACCAAGCTGCAGGCTGCGGAGAGGAAGGCCTCGGAAGCCATGGGACACAGAGCTGAGCTGACGCTTTGATGGTTCATTGCCAAGCTCGCGCCATTCAGCGTGCTGGTTCTAAGATCCAAGGTCCCAATGCTTGAGGCGCGTCTGACAGAACAGGCCCGGAAGATGGAGAGCCAGGCCTGCCTCTGCTGCCTTTTGTTGATCAAGGGATGAGAGCTGTGCCGGAGGACAAGAACTGGCAGAAGGTGTTCTCCAGTTATCCTCTTGTTGGTCAACTTCTGCCCAGGGCTTGAGTGTCATTCCGGCAGAGGCTGTCAAGGGCCCCATGCCAAGAGTGGGAAATCACACCAAGGTTCCCAAACCCGAAGCCCGCGGCGGCGCCTGGCACCACAGCATGCAGGGTTTAGGAGCCTTCAGGGCCCTTTGGGGCATGTTTCGGGGCGGGAACATCCGATCAAGGCCCCCGCCAGACGCTGCTGCGTCTGGAGGCTTGGAGGAATTCTTCGTTCGAGCTCTTGCATGCATGTCCGTGTGCGTGCGTGTGGCAGGTGATGCCGCGCCATCGGCTGAGGCACGTGGTATCGCGTGGCTACGCAAACGTCTTGCGTAGCAAGCATTCTTGCAGTTCGTTCGTTCGGTCGCTGGGGCGAGAGAGAATGCTGCAGAATCAAAGGTGCCAAAGACTGAGGAGACTGGGCCAAAGGAGGTCACCCTGGCGCCTGGCAGCCAATCCGACGGAGCGCACGCAGCGGGCCTTCAGAAGGGCAGCCAGGACTGTTGAAATGGTTAGCACTTTTCAGGAGGCTTGGCTGTGGATAGGGCGCCTTTTCGTGCATGGCTCGAAAGGTTGTGTGTGGCTCAAAAGGTTGCTTGTCATGATTGCAGCTCGATCGGGTCCTACGATCCCCACCCGGCTGGCGGGACTGTCGCAGACCTACGGCGCTCGGCACCTGTGCAGGACTTTCAGCTTAGGCCCTCTGACCCCGTCACCGGCATCACTGGGCCCGGTGGCCGCGCTCGCTGCGAGCTCTGCGACCGCTTTGAGACACTTCCATTGGAGCTCTTGGAGGCGTGGGCACGGGCGGGCCGGACACGCTGTCTCGCATGTTCCACGACAAGCTGGGCGGAAGGGGGATTCTTTGCGGGTGCAGCAGCACCGCCGCTGCTTTGAAGGCACGCTGTTTCAGTGTAGCTACAGATCAAAAGCCTTGGGCGGTTTGGCTTCGCCTTTCAGCGTGTATGTTCCCGATGCTCCGCGCATGCAGACGAGTTTGCCGTACCCAGAAGATTGCGAAGAGTTCCCGGTGGTGTTGTATCTCTCAGACATGGGCTGTTCCCACCTTGATGTCATGCAGCAGACCACTGCCCTTGAGCACAGCTCGGCTTGCGGTCTGATCTTTCTGGCAGCTGACACTTCTCCGAGAGGCGATGACATACCAGACGATGCACAAGTTGACATGGGCATCGGGGCCAGCTTTTATGTCAATGCAACAGAGCAGCCGTGGGCTGAACACTACAGGATGCAAGACTACCTGCAGGAGTTGCTGGGCATTGTGCACCAGAACTTCCCAACCTGTGGCCCTGATGAGGTTTCTTTGATGGGACACTCGATGGGGGGTATGGGTGCCCTGGCCACTGCCATCCGTATGCCTGACGCATTCCGTTCTGTGTCGGTGCTGGCGCCCATTGCCCATCCGACAGCCATCCCCGAGGTCGTTGAGGATGCTGAGGGTGGACTGCACCTTCCGAATGTGCGCCGCACGCTCTCGGCTTACCTTGGCAAGCAGCAGGCCTGGAGCAAGTACGACCCCACCCAACTCATCAAGGACTGCAGCGCAGAGGATGTCTCGCACCTGCCGCCTCTTTTCGTGGATGTGGGGTCTGAGACTATGCAGTCTCCATTGTGTGAAGTGTACAGGCCGCTTGACTTTGTGAGCGCTTGCAATATGCGAGGCATCCCTGTCGAACTCCGGGTGCGAGCAGGATTCGATCACGGCTACTTCTTCGTGACCTCTGTGATGGAAGAGCATCTGGACTTCCACTCAAAGCATCTCGATGTAGCATGACTGTCTCGCATGAGACGTGATGAGGCAAAAGAAGAGGAGTCTTTTTGTAGGAGACTGCTAGCACCACAAATCCCTAGCAAATGATTGCGAGGGGCCGGGGTTGCGGGCTAATCGATTACGAAAGACTACAGACTTCTCCACCCCCGAGAAATCATTGTGAGGGGTCATCTGAGGTACATGCCCACAACGGATACAGATACAGTACTAGGCTACTAGACTGCAAATAAAGACCATTCGGTCAAGGTTAGCTTGACAGATATGATGCAAAGAGGGAAGGGCAAAGTAGTAGTTGAGGCTGTAGAGGTTCATCCCATGCTCCGGAGGAGCAAGCGGTAGTTACCAGTTGCCTGTGGGATTCGTTGGGTCTTCACTTTGAAGGGCAAGCGCAGCTTTTGGGGTTGGGGGGAAGTGACTTGGAAGGTTCCGGGGAAGATTGCAGCGCAAGATTGTAACACCGCTCTCCAGGACGGCCACCAGGATGAAAGCATCGCAGCCAAGACCCTTGGCGAGAAGCTGACACTAACAGGGCCCCCAGTGGAGACCCTCAAGTCCGTTCTTGGGGCTGCGCTGGAGAAGGCCGTCAGTCAGGACTGCAGCGAGGTAGGCAACTGTAGTGCTGGATGCCCGTCTGCCCGTTGCCTCAGTTCGCTCGTTAAGTTTCAACGTCATTTCCATAAGGGGTTGTCAGCTTCAGCCCTGTAGGATGAAGCAGCTGGCAGCCTGTCCTTCAAAAGGAGCACTGCCCGGGAGCAGGAGAAGCTGTTTTAGCATAAAGCAAGCCGTACCTGCACGTTTTGAGGAAAGCTTTGTGTTCCCAGTCTATACTCCTCCTCGTCCTATCCCCCATTGTACAAACCCTGATTGTACAGGAGGACGTGGGAGGCACGAAGACAGTTGCAGCCAGTGCCAAAGCGAAGGTGCCTCTTTTATTGTTCAGTTGTGAAGATTTTTGGCATTTCCGTGTTGCTCCCCTGCTTGCTGTTGCAACGTCAAAGCATGGCACTCTTTTTGATCCTTCTGTTTGTAAATGTCCACTTTGTTTGCAGTGCCAGGCTGTGCCAGACGAGACGATCAAGGCGAGTGGCCCATGAGTCGCCCCTAATGCAGTGCTGCAGTGCGTGGACTTGCTTTCGAGGATCTGGGTGCCAGCCTGTCCGCAACTGTGGCCAGCGCGGTACCAGAGCCCGAGGCGCTGCGGCTGTGTGATGTTGCGCTGTGCTGGTGCGGGGAAGTCATGTTACTGTGTCGGCGTGTCGGCGTGCCACTTGGGCCAGGACCTGGGCGTCACCCAGCCTACGAGCGCGGCGAGCACGGCAGGTCCTGCGAAGGCGAAGGCGGCACCGGGTTGTCCAATCTCAGTCTGCCGGTGCAGTGAACCTGCGCACGTGGTAAGTATCTGCTCAGGGCGCAAGCTCAACTGGACCTCCGCCGGTGGATCTGAAGGCCATCAGCAAATGGCACCAAAGATGAAGAGGTTGATGCTTCATGAAGCTCACCGGTGCTTTTGGGTGGCAGGCTGATTCGCCCCTGCCGAAGCCAAAGGCCTGTCAAATGGCGGCGACATAGCCTCGCAATGTGGGGCTGTGGTAGCTGATGCAGGAGCCAGGGGCAGATCCTGCTGGGCCTGGTGACGTACAGGCACCGTGTGATGTGTGAGCCATCTTTCGACCATGGCTGTGAGTTAGTGGCTGCCACTTTTCGTGGCAGTTTGCGTTGCCAACCTAAGCGGACAAGAAAGAATTTCCCTTCGCTAAACGCTGCGAACTGGTGCCTCGTCCCGGCATCGTTCTACAGAATCTGCGCGCACCACTGCAGGCGCCACCTACGCCTGCCAAGCCGCAGGCATGTCGATGTCGAGCCTGTCAGCTACTAAAGTCCGTAAATTCTCCTGCGATTAGGGATTAGGTACCAAGTTACCAAGAACGCAATCCTCAGAGGCTAACGGGCTAGTTGTATTATATGATAGGCCCGTTGAAGTAGCTCATTTATAGCATTCTAACGGGCGGACAATAAAGCCCGAACAATATATTCTTAAGGCGAGTGCAGACGCCCGTACCAATGAAACAAATACAAGGGCTTTTGGGAAGCATACGAAATCATTATCTCCCCCCCCAACCTAATACTTTTATGAGCGTGAGTGCATAATTTTAATGCGCCTTTCGGCCCTAATAGAACAGGACTATTCAAGTGGGCCGCAGATAGAAGCATAAAAGAAAAAGTTAATACATTTAAAATCCTTAAATAAAGGTGAAGAGAAAACCATGGCTAATATTGCAATGAATGTGAATGAAGCACGCATATTATCAATTGTGTGAACGAAACAAAGACACCATTAATAAACGGTTTGTAAGGAAAAGAGAAGTCAAGTAACAAGTCAAGAAATAGCGAAAGGAGTTGGCAGTGATCTTGGAGCAGACATGAGCAGATGCATAGCAGCTCCACGTTACCATGTAGGTTCGGCAGCCTATAGTAGAACGGACAGCTCGGTCATGTTGCATGGGCATGAAGGAGGCGGGCGGTGCAAAATCGGGACCTGCTGATGCCAAGGCTCCATCGAGCGTTAGCAGTGGTATTTGAGAGTCGTGGACAATTACAAGTCGAGTTGGATGTGGTTGAGCAGCTTGCAGGCGGGGCCACTCTTCCTGAAGCCAAAGGCCAGGAGAAACCGATTCTGCAGCATGGTTTTTTGGCACCCCCTAGCCTGGGCCGATTCGCCCTTTCGCGGCAGGCGACAGGTACTGGCACCACCGCCCCTCCTGACGCAAAGGCACCGTGTCGGTTGAGCAATGACTGCCTAGACTGAAGAGTCACTTTAGAGTAGTGGAGTCGTTTCAATCTGACAGGTGCCGCCTGTGCCTCCGAAGCTACAGGCAGCTCTGCATGTTCATTCGGGGTGGCTGGAAGGTGTGCTTGTTCGATGGAGTACGTGCATTCCGTATGCACCGCATGGAGGACGCGAGCGCTGCCAAAGCGCCCATCGCGGATGCGAAGGCTTGTGCGTGTTGCAAAAGGGGCTTTCGTTAGGCTATTTGCTACAGGGACGTGTTCGCACTGCCCGGTTCGTGTCTTGCAAGGGCATGCCCCTGCCGCCCCTGCCAAAGCCGAAGGCCGGCGGCCGGCGGTGGGATCTGACATGATCTGACCTGCCACCTGTCACTCTCACTCGTTCACACGTTCGCAGCGCACAGGAGCCTGCAGCAGTACCAGAGCCGCAGGCGACGTGCCGACACGTATCCATGGTCTTTGAGATCTTGTTTGGATGCCGGGGTTTGGAGTCAGGCTGCCCCGGACGAGACGATCAAGGCGAGTGGCCCATGAGTCGCCCATGATGCAGTGCTGTGGTGCACGGCCTTCCTTTCGAGGATCTGGGTGCCAGCCTGTCAGCAACTGCAGCCAGCGCGGTACCAGAGCCCGAGGCGCTGCGACTTTGTGCTGCGGGGAAGTCATGCGCGTCGTTATTGGTCCAGGTTGCTCCTGGTGAGACGATGAAGGCTCAGCGCATGAATCCACTGGTGGTGCTGTAGTTGAGGGCAGCGTTGCGTTGCTCACTTGTCACTGTGACGGCGTGTCGGCGTGACGGCGTGCCGCTTGGGCCAGGACCTGGGCGTCACCCAGCCTACGAGCGCGGCGAGCACGGCAGGTCCTGCGAAGGCGAAGGCGTCACCGGGCTGTCCAATCTCAGTCTGCCGGTGCAGTGAACCTGCGCACGTGGTAAGTATCTGCTCAGGGCGCAAGCTCAACTGGACCTCCGCCGGTGGATCTGAAGGCCATCAGCAAATGGCACCAAAGATGAAGAGGTTGATGCTTCATGAAGCTCACCGGTGCTTTTGGGTGGCAGGCTGATTCGCCCCTGCCGAAGCCAAAGGCCTGTCAAATGGCGGCGACATAGCCTCGCAATGTGGGGCTGTGGTAGCTGATGCAGGAGCCAGGGGCAGATCCTGCTGGGCCTGGTGACGTACAGGCACCGTGTGATGTGTGAGCCATCTTTCGACCATGGCTGTGAGTTAGTGGCTGCCACTTTTCGTTGTTCAAACTTAGCGGACAAGAAAGAATTTTCTTTTGCTTGATCTTGAAGCAGACATGAGCAGATTCACATGAAGGAGGCGGGCGGTGCAAAATCGGGACCTGCTGATGCCAAGGCTCCATCGAGCGTTAGCAGTGGTATTTGAGAGTCGTGGACAATTACAAGTCGAGTTGGATGTGGTTGAGCAGCTTGCAGGCGGGGCCACTCTTCCTGAAGCCAAAGGCCAGGAGAAACCGATTCTGCAGCATGGTTTTTTGGCACCCCCTAGCCTGGGCCGATTCGCCCTTTCGCGGCAGGCGACAGGTACTGGCACCACCGCCCCTCCTGACGCAAAGGCACCGTGTCGGTTGAGCAATGACTGCCTAGACTGAAGAGTCACTTTAGAGTAGTGGAGTCGTTTCAATCTGACAGGTGCCGCCTGTGCCTCCGAAGCTACAGGCAGCTCTGCATGTTCATTCGGGGTGGCTGGAAGGTGTGCTTGTTCGATGGAGTACGTGCATTCCGTATGCACCGCATGGAGGACGCGAGCGCTGCCAAAGCGCCCATCGCGGATGCGAAGGCTTGTGCGTGTTGCAAAAGGGGCTTTCGTTAGGCTATTTGCTACAGGGACGTGTTCGCACTGCCCGGTTCGTGTCTTGCAAGGGCATGCCCCTGCCGCCCCTGCCAAAGCCGAAGGCCGGCGGCCGGCGGTGGGATCTGACATGATCTGACCTGCCACCTGTCACTCTCACTCGTTCACACGTTCGCAGCGCACAGGAGCCTGCAGCAGTACCAGAGCCGCAGGCGACGTGCCGACACGTATCCATGGTCTTTGAGATCTTGTTTGGATGCCGGGGTTTGGAGTCAGGCTGCCCCGGACGAGACGATCAAGGCGAGTGGCCCATGAGTCGCCCATGATGCAGTGCTGTGGTGCACGGCCTTCCTTTCGAGGATCTGGGTGCCAGCCTGTCAGCAACTGCAGCCAGCGCGGTACCAGAGCCCGAGGCGCTGCGACTTTGTGCTGCGGGGAAGTCATGCGCGTCGTTATTGGTCCAGGTTGCCCCTGGTGAGACGATGAAGGCTCAGCGCATGAATCCACTGGTGGTGCTGTAGTTGAGGGCAGCGTTGCGTTGCTCACTTGTCACTGTGACGGCGTGTCGGCGTGACGGCGTGCCGCTTGGGCCAGGACCTGGGCGTCACCCAGCCTACGAGCGCGGCGAGCACGGCAGGTCCTGCGAAGGCGAAGGCGGCACCGGGCTGTCCAATCTCAGTCTGCCGGTGCAGTGAACCTGCGCACGTGGTAAGTATCTGCTCAGGGCGCAAGCTCAACTGGACCTCCGCCGGTGGATCTGAAGGCCATCAGCAAATGGCACCAAAGATGAAGAGGTTGATGCTTCATGAAGCTCACCGGTGCTTTTGGGTGGCAGGCTGATTCGCCCCTGCCGAAGCCAAAGGCCTGTCAAATGGCGGCGACATAGCCTCGCAATGTGGGGCTGTGGTAGCTGATGCAGGAGCCAGGGGCAGATCCTGCTGGGCCTGGTGACGTACAGGCACCGTGTGATGTGTGAGCCATCTTTCGACCATGGCTGTGAGTTAGTGGCTGCCACTTTTCGTTGTTCAAACTTAGCGGACAAGAAAGAATTTTCTTTTGCTTGATCTTGAAGCAGACATGAGCAGATTCACATGAAGGAGGCGGGCGGTGCAAAATCGGGACCTGCTGATGCCAAGGCTCCATCGAGCGTTAGCAGTGGTATTTGAGAGTCGTGGACAATTACAAGTCGAGTTGGATGTGGTTGAGCAGCTTGCAGGCGGGGCCACTCTTCCTGAAGCCAAAGGCCAGGAGAAACCGATTCTGCAGCATGGTTTTTTGGCACCCCCTAGCCTGGGCCGATTCGCCCTTTCGCGGCAGGCGACAGGTACTGGCACCACCGCCCCTCCTGACGCAAAGGCACCGTGTCGGTTGAGCAATGACTGCCTAGACTGAAGAGTCACTTTAGAGTAGTGGAGTCGTTTCAATCTGACAGGTGCCGCCTGTGCCTCCGAAGCTACAGGCAGCTCTGCATGTTCATTCGGGGTGGCTGGAAGGTGTGCTTGTTCGATGGAGTACGTGCATTCCGTATGCACCGCATGGAGGACGCGAGCGCTGCCAAAGCGCCCATCGCGGATGCGAAGGCTTGTGCGTGTTGCAAAAGGGGCTTTCGTTAGGCTATTTGCTACAGGGACGTGTTCGCACTGCCCGGTTCGTGTCTTGCAAGGGCATGCCCCTGCCGCCCCTGCCAAAGCCGAAGGCCGGCGGCCGGCGGTGGGATCTGACATGATCTGACCTGCCACCTGTCACTCTCACTCGTTCACACGTTCGCAGCGCACAGGAGCCTGCAGCAGTACCAGAGCCGCAGGCGACGTGCCGACACGTATCCATGGTCTTTGAGATCTTGTTTGGATGCCGGGGTTTGGAGTCAGGCTGCCCCGGACGAGACGATCAAGGCGAGTGGCCCATGAGTCGCCCATGATGCAGTGCTGTGGTGCACGGCCTTCCTTTCGAGGATCTGGGTGCCAGCCTGTCAGCAACTGCAGCCAGCGCGGTACCAGAGCCCGAGGCGCTGCGACTTTGTGCTGCGGGGAAGTCATGCGCGTCGTTATTGGTCCAGGTTGCTCCTGGTGAGACGATGAAGGCTCAGCGCATGAATCCACTGGTGGTGCTGTAGTTGAGGGCAGCGTTGCGTTGCTCACTTGTCACTGTGACGGCGTGTCGGCGTGACGGCGTGCCGCTTGGGCCAGGACCTGGGCGTCACCCAGCCTACGAGCGCGGCAGGCGCGGCAGGTCCTGCGAAGGCGAAGGCGGCGCCGGGCTGTCCAATCTTGATACTGACGGTTCATGCTAGCCTGAATTCTTATCGGTTTTTCTAGCACGCCATCGCAGTGCATAGCTGAAGGCAGAGTGTAAGGGTGCCGACTTTGGAGCTGCTCCATTTCCGATGGATGGCAAGTGCAGGTTCTACCGCCTCCGCCTCCGAAGGCGCAGGCCAGGGAACATCGAGAAGTGTCGCGAATGTCGCATTTAAAATTCAGTTGCACACGATGCTGAATCATGCTGAAATCACTTGATGGAGTTGTCATGGGCTTCACACAGTACAACTGTTTCATAGAGCATCATTTCGAGGATGGCGGCGCGCAACCATCACCAACTGATGGGAAGGCTCATAGCGGCATCTCAACTTTCCAAAAGTGAAGTTGATGAGCTCGTGTGGTGTCGTGTTGGCAGGCTTCTCCGCCCTTGCCAAAGCCAAAGGCCAGTGGAGCAAATGAGGCAGCGCATGCTCCGCCATCTGTACCTCAGCAGGAGCCAAGTGCCAGCTCCACTGCCCCTGCTGATGCGAAGGTGCCGTGTGAGTCGCGTGAGCAGTGGAGACCGTGGAGAGAATGCACTCCGTAATGTAGAGGTACGCAGGTTGGGAGGTGCAGTAGAGGCAGTGGATGAAACAACTGCAGGCGCCGCCTCCGCCCCCGAAGCCGCAGGCCGCGAGACTTCCCCCTAATGCTTTCGCGACATCTGCCGCAAAGGGTTTGACAAGAACTCGTTGGGTTCAGAAGCTCACAAGATGGAAGACGGCTTCTGCGGAGGATGCGAGCAGTGCAAAATCGGCGCCGGGCGGCAAGGCTGTTGTATCTGGCTGCTGCATCTCAATTCTTGAAGCTGTTGTTCCTGACGGTTTGGCTATCAGAGGCGATCAGAGGTGGAGTAGAATCCAATGTTGCACCTTTGCAGGAACCACCTAGCAGCGCCGCCCCTGACGCGAAGGCCTGTGTGGTGTAGGCATCCGAGCGCTTCATAAGCATTATTGAGGAGCACGAAGTCGAAGGGCACGTCGGGCAGAGCCTCGCATGTCGTCGCAAATCCTTGCAATGTGTGCTCATGTCCAACCTGGACACGGCCTGTCACGGTTCATGCTATAGCACCACTCGCCATCGCAGTGCATAGCTGAAGGCAGAGTGTAAGCTCATGGCAGAATCTACCATTAAGGCTGATGATAAGGGTGCCGAGTTTGGAGCTGCTCTATATCCGATGGATGGCAAGTGCAGGTTCTACCGCCTCCGCCTCCGAAGGCGCAGGCCAGGGAACATCGAGAAGTGTCGCGAATGTCACATCTTAAATCTTAAATTCAGTTGCACACGAAGCTGAATCATGCTGAAATCACTTGATGGAGTTGTCATGGGCTTCACACAGTACAACTAGGATGGCGGCGCGCAACCATCACCAACTGACGGGAAGGCTCATAGCGGCATCTCAACTGTCCAAAAGTGAAGTTGATGAGCTCGTGTGGTGTCGTGGTGGCAGGCTTCTCCGCCCTTGCCAAAGCCAAAGGCCAGTGGAGCAAATGAGGCAGCGCATGCTCCGCCATCTGTACCTCAGCAGGAGCCAAGTGCCAGCTCCACTGCCCCTGCTGATGCGAAGGTGCCGTGTGAGTCATGTGAGCAGTGGAGACTGTGGGAGAGAATGCACTCCGTAACGTAGAGGTATGCAGGTTAGGGAGGTGCAGTAGAGGCAGTGGATGACAATCAACTGCAGGCGCCGCCTCCGCCCCCGAAGCCGCAGGCCGCGAGACTTCCCCCTAATGCTTTCGCGACATCTGCCGCAAAGGGTTTGACAAGAACTCGTTGGGTTCAGAAGCTCACAAGATGGAAGACGGCTTCTGCGGAGGATGCGAGCAGTGCAAAATCGGCGCCGGGCGGCAAGGCTGTTGTATCTGGCTGCTGCATCTCAATTCTTGAAGCTGTTGTTACTGACGGTTTGGCTATCAGAGGCGATCAGAGGTGGAGTAGAATCCAATGTTGCACCTTTGCAGGAACCACCTAGCAGCGCCGCCCCTGACGCGAAGGCCTGTGTGGTGTAGGCATCCGAGCGCTGCATAAGCATTATTGAGGAGCACGAAGTCGAAGGGCACGTCGGGCAGAGCCTCGCATGTCGTCGCAAATCCTTGCAATGTGTGCTCATGTCCAACCTGGACACGGCCTGTCACGGTTCATGCTATAGCACCACTCGCCATCGCAGTGCATAGCTGAAGGCAGAGTGTAAGCTCATGGCAGAATCTACCATTAAGGCTGATGATAAGGGTGCCGAGTTTGGAGCTGCTCTATATCCGATGGATGGCAAGTGCAGGTTCTACCGCCTCCGCCTCCGAAGGCGCAGGCCAGGGAACATCGAGAAGTGTCGCGAATGTCACATCTTAAATCTTAAATTCAGTTGCACACGAAGCTGAATCATGCTGAAATCACTTGATGGAGTTGTCATGGGCTTCACACACAACTCTTTCATAGTGCATCATTTCGAGGATGGCGGCGCGCAACCGTCACCAACTGATGGGAAGGCTCATCGCGGCATCTCAACTTTCCAAAAGTGAAGTTGATGAGCTCGTGTGGTGTCGTGGTGGCAGGCTTCTCCGCCCTTGCCAAAGCCAAAGGCCAGTGGAGCAAATGAGGCAGCGCATGCTCCGCCATCTGTACCTCAGCAGGAGCCAAGTGCCAGCTCCACTGCCCCTGCTGATGCGAAGGTGCCGTGTGAGTCGTGTGAGCGTGGGAGAGAATGCACTCCGTAACGTACAGGTATGCAGGTTGGGAGGTGCAGTAGAGGCATTGGATGACAAACAACTGCAGGCGCCGCCTCCGCCCCCGAAGCCGCAGGCGCGAGACTTCCCCCCAATGCTTTCGCGACATCTGCCGCAAAGGGTTTGACAAGAACTCGTTGGGTTCAGAAGCTCACAAGATGGAAGACGGCTTCTGCGGAGGATGCGAGCAGTGCAAAATCGGCGCCGGGCGGCAAGGCTGTTGTATCTGGCTGCTGCATCTCAATTCTTGAAGCTGTTGTTACTGACGGTTTGGCTATCAGAGGCGATCAGAGGTGGAGTAGAAAGCCAAATGTTGCACCTTTGCAGGAACCACCTAGCAGCGCCGCCCCTGACGCGAAGGCCTGTGTGGTGTAGGCATCCGAGCGCTTCATAAGCATTATTGAGGAGCACGAAGTCGAAGGGCACGTCGGGCAGAGCCTCGCATGTCGTCGCAAATCCTTGCAATGTGTGCTCATGTCCAACCTGGACACGGCCTGTCACGGTTCATGCTATAGCACCACTCGCCATCGCAGTGCATAGCTGAAGGCAGAGTGTAAGCTCATGGCAGAATCTACCATTAAGGCTGATGATAAGGGTGCCGAGTTTGGAGCTGCTCTATATCCGATGGATGGCAAGTGCAGGTTCTACCGCCTCCGCCTCCGAAGGCGCAGGCCAGGGAACATCGAGAAGTGTCGCGAATGTCACATCTTAAATCTTAAATTCAGTTGCACACGAAGCTGAATCATGCTGAAATCACTTGATGGAGTTGTCATGGGCTTCACACACAACTCTTTCATAGTGCATCATTTCGAGGATGGCGGCGCACAACCGTCACCAACTGATGGGAAGGCTCATCGCGGCATCTCAACTTTCCAAAAGTGAAGTTGATGAGCTCGTGTGGTGTCGTGGTGGCAGGCTTCTCCGCCCTTGCCAAAGCCAAAGGCCAGTGGAGCAAATGAGGCAGCGCATGCGCCGCCATCTGTACCTCAGCAGGAGCCAAGTGCCAGCTCCACTGCCCCTGCTGATGCGAAGGTGCCGTGTGAGTCGTGTGAGCAGTGGAGACCGTGGGAGAGAATGCGCTCCGCAACGTAGAGGTATGCAGGTTGGGAGGTGCAGTAGAGGCATTGGATGACAAACAACTGCAGGCGCCGCCTCCGCCCCCGAAGCCGCAGGCGCGAGACGTCCCCCTAATGCTTTCGCGACATCTGCCGCAGGGTTTGACAAGAACTCGTTGGGTTCAGAAGCTCACAAGATGGAAGACGGCTTCTGCAGAGGATGCGAGCAGTGCAACATCGGCGCCAGCCGACGGCAAGGCTGTTGCATCCCAGCAAGTGTTCCAATCGTCCGGTCGTCTGGTGCGTGCATGTTGCGTGTTTCCAGATCAGGCCAGCCCGCCTCCGCCTCCAAAGCCGGCATGATCTGATTGCTGTCCCGGATGTTTGGGCCAATCAGCAAGCCGCACACAACCCCAAGACTAGCTGCTCTGCTGATGCCAGCGTGAGAGTCCAAACATGCAGTCCACAACATGCTGGCTGCATGCATGGTAGCTCAGAACTGCATGATCAAGTTTTCCAAGTGCCCATTCCTCACGTATGGTTGGACCCACGGTAGAGAGCTCATTTCAACAATGCCATTGTGCAACAAGTTGTTTTTTTCAGCTCGATGCGTGGGAAGGGGCTAATCAAGAGTAAATTGTGTGCATGCACGGCGAGGGTCCTGACCCAATGTGGCAGCTGTTTGTCTAAAACCACGAGCCCATGGACAGTTTGATGTGTAGGTGTCACATCTTATGCCCGTATATGAATCCGGCAGCACCAGGGTTGGGGACACATGAGCTTCACCGAAGCAGCTCACGTGAGGGGTTCACGTCGTCTGGAAAGCATGAAGGCTTCCCAGCCCCACTTGGGGCAATCACGGGGCGAGAACCACCGCGACACCGGACAAGGCGGTGCGCCGCACGATGTGTACAGTCGCCTGAGAAACATGGTGTGTCGTGCAACATGCAGCGTTGCCTGGATCTCGCTCCTCCATATTTCATCTTCAGTATTGCTTCCGCTCCTTCAAGGCTGTAGAAGTTTAGATCTTGCACTTGGCACCACCTGATTTCATCTCAAGAAGCCTTCCCCGCAGCCCCGGGTACCGCCAAGGAATGATGCAGGCAGACGTGTGGTTCGGGACTAGTCCGACATCCTTCGCGACTGAACTTCGCAGGATGAGACTCTGCCAGGCACAGTCCGTGCTGAATCCGACCCGTAGGGCCCGTGTAGCGGTGGCATCAACACCCGGATCCGCCCTGATCCCATGCAAACTGGTTGCGGGTGCTGCTCTAGCGTCGCCTCGGCTTCGGCTTCGGCTTCGGCTTGTGCTGGATGCCCACAATGCCTACAATGCCCGGTCCATGAGCTCCACAACTCGGGCTCTGAGCATCAACGCTCGTGAGTTCCTAGCTGTGGACGACGGTGCTGGGCAGGAGCCCCTCCACAGCAACGACAGCACCGACAGCGACTGCAGCGGCAGCATCAGTATGCGAACCGAACAACTCCAGCTCTGGGAGCAGCAGATTCACGCACTTGTGGTCGTGCTGATATCTGCCGAACATGTCGAAGCAGGGGCCTTGAAGCAAGAGGTTTCAAGACTGCAGGGTTACGATGATTGGGGGTACTATGGCAAGTGGGCTGCTGCCCTGGCACAGGTCCTGGTGAAGCAATGCTTGATCGACGCCGATGCTTTGGATAAAGCACTCGGAAGCCGGAGTCCTCACGAGAACCCGACTTTCGAAGTTGGGGATCCTGTCTGGATCAAGGAGAGCCCGGGAAGACCGGCATCCCAGTGGCGTCGGCCCTTCTTGCCCGTTCCTGGCAGCGCGTCAGGACTGTGCGGAACCGTGGCAAGGCGACTAGGCTTGAGAGCAGATGGGAGTTTCTTCGCCTTGCAGAGGGCGCTCGGGTTGGAGGTGCCAACGGAACAGTGCATGTACCTTGTCCATTTCGATTCCGAGGCTTTGTCGAAGCAAGGGTTGTCGTTCTCGGGGCAGGTTGTGGCCGTTGAAGTTTTCCAAAGCTGGCTGGAGGCTGAGAAGCCCGACTTCACTTCGAAGCTACAGCCTGGGGCAGCGACAGTGAAAGCCCCAAAAGGCCCGAAGCGCAGACACATGCGTCAAAGCTTAAAGACCCTATCCCAGGAGATGCATGATGCTGGATTGGGCCCCTGCAAAGCTAGACCTCCTGAAGCGAAGCATGAGCCACATGATGAGCGGCATGAGGAGCCACATGAGCACTTGCCACGATCTGCTGTGGAGCAAGCAGCGGTGGAGAAGGAAGGCAGAGAAACGCCGGGGCAGCGCGTAACCGAGGCGCTGCTGAAGGTCCTGACCGCCCGAGGCATCATTGCTTTGTCGGCGATTTCCAGGGCAATGGAGGTCATCGACTCTTTGGGAGTCCACCCTGTTGGACCGCGGATTGTTGCACGTGCCTGGTACGATGCCAACTTCAAAAGCTTGCTTCTCAAGGACGCAAACGCGGCCATCAAAAGTATGCTGGGCCACGAAGCGGCAAGCTCCACGTCCACAGTGAAAATCAAAGTGGTCGAATCGACACCTGCAGTGCACAACCTTGTTGTTTGCACGTTGTGCTCCTGCTACCCAGTCACGTTGCTCGGCTTGTCCCCAGCATGGTACAAATCTCGTGAATATCGCGAACAGGCCGTGGACAAGCCACGAGAGCTCTTGAAGTCGTTCGGCATAGAAGTTCCACAAGATGTGGAGCTTCGGGTACACGACTCCAACTCCGAGTTAAGGTATTTAGTTTTGCCCCAGCGCCCTACAGGAACCGAGGGTTGGTCCGAAGAGCAGCTTGCAGCGCTGGTGACCCGTGACAGCATGATCGGTGTGGCGTTACCACAAGGGCCAGAACTGGAGCAAGCACCTGAGGTCTAGGTCCTATAGGTCCTATAGGTATGGGTCCCTCTACGTTCATAGGTACCTTCTACGCCTGCGAGGGAAGAACCTTGACTTCAGCATGCTTCAGGAGCACACATTGTGATACACTATGGTACGCTGCACGGCGCCGTGCAGAAAAGAAGGCCGCAAGTATCCTTGTCCATGGCTCTCGTACGAACCATTCTCAGCTCCAATCAATTGGCCAAGGAATTCCCTGACTGGTCGAGGCCACGAGAGGCTCAAGGGGAGCGTGGCCTGCGGCAACTTGGGGTGCCCACGGCACCCACAGAGGGGGCACACCAAGAAGCGACAGGTGGTTGACTATCTTAAGCCCACAGAATCACCATCACCGGCTTAACTTAACTTAACCACAGCATAGTGTTGACGCAACTGACCGCGAGCTGGCTGCTGCCTGGCTACATTACCTGTACAGCAACTTTGCAGCAAGACGAACCACGGCTCAGACACTGCGTTGCTCGGACACCCCTCAACATCTATTCCATGTGCAGACATGTGCCTGTGCAGACGCAGGTGGAGTAGGAACATGCCAACCCCCCAAGCTAAAAAATGCTGCAAGTGAGACATGTCGTTGAAGTGGCGTTTTTGTGCCAGATGGTTCGTCAGATGACCTGGCACGTCGCGGTTCGAGTTTTTCATATAGCCCGGCCCAGGCATTTTTCATCCCTTGAGTGCACCTCGTTGGTATGCCAGGCAGACGCAGCTCAGGCACCATGTTTTGAATGGCAGCAGTGGCAGACATGTGATACTCTTGGCGGAGTATTGTGGTGCCACATGTGCCCACATGTAGTCTTCTCAGGACATGGCCAAGGAAAGGCCTCCCTAAAACAAGAAGAGGAGATGTTGCAGTGCATGAAAGCAGCAAATCAAGAAGCATCTTTTCCGAGAGCAGGAGCAATGCTGGAAGGAAGAGTGCATCTCTGGGGCGCAGGCGGGCCTCATGAACTTCGAACAGTCGGGAGTTCGTCATGGTCATTATTCATCCGAGCCTTGCCAGGTGCAGCCCTGGAGACCTTCATGGGAGCTGCTTGTTTGAACTTGTGGAAACTGGAACATCTCGCGGGAAGTTATCTTGGGTTTCGTTAGTCACTGTAGTCCGCAAAACTGGTAGAATCGAGCTGGCATGAGCTGGCAGGGGTGCGCTTCCGGTCAGCAAGGCGGGGAAAGTCTGAGAATCCTTCTTCAGCAGCGACAAGAACAAGAGCAAGACGATGCACTGCCGTCAGCTGCATCGACTTCGTATCCTGGCAGCATTGCCGATCGTGGCCGCATCTTGTGTCAGTTGTATAGGTAGCAAGTCCGCTCTCTGAGGCGACGAGTTCTCGAGGGCTCCTTGGCAAAACATCTAAGACCCGATTTGTCAAGTTCAGTTCGAATTCGGCTGTCCAGACCTCTCGAGTTGCCGAGCTTGTGAGCCAAGGAGCACAGTCCAGGGTCCACATAAGTCACACAAGGACTCACGGCAGCATGTCGCCCCCGTGGAGAAGAAAGAGATGTGACAGCCGCATCAGTTCTGCTTGTTGCAGGGCAGTTTGTACTTCAGGATGGCAGCCTGAATCCAGGCAATCAGCATCTTGGCTGTAGACTTGTCGTTGACTTGTCGTTGCCCACGGCTGATCACGCTCCAAGGGATTGAAAACATGAAAAAAAGTCAACACTTGCATTACAACCTAGGCGAAGATTTTGGAGACCGAAGCTTTCTTCCCACGTTGTGGCCTCTGCTACTTGGCTAGAAAGCAGTTCGAGCATGTGATTGGGGTGTGATGTCGTGAGAGCTTTGATTGGTGATGTCACTGATGTCTTTTTAGGATGACAAGCCGCTGTCCGATGCGGTGTCGGAAGCAAACACAGCGACCACTTCCTTACACTCAGAGGCTCTTGAGCCAACCTGGCACTTACTCGTTTTCAGGGGGGGGGGGGAGGGTGGAGGGGTGGGGGGGGGGGGAGGGAGGAACATTGTAACATCGCAAAACAGCTTGCGGGTGCCTCCGCAGGTCATTTTTCAGGAGACATTCAGCCAGGATGGTGATGTCCACAGCGACCAGCCACTGTGCTCATCTGGTGACATGATGTGTCGGTCACATGGGCTCGACGAAGAAAGAGCTGCCATCGTGCATTTGCAGGCCATAAAGCCATACATTGCCTGCGCGTGTTGGCAGACTACCCTCAGACTGAGGTGCTGTTCCGAGACTGCAGATGATGCTAATACCGCAAGAAAGACGCCATCTGATGTGTGCCACCTGCCAGCATTCTGCAAAGCTCCTTGTGTTTCAGTCCTGTTGGGTATGGAGGCGTTGTACCAAGGTGTGGGCCACATATTGTCCGTGCTGTTTCTTGGCAGATTGCAAAGTTGGCCATGCAAAAGCTGCAATGCGCCATTGCCGGTTATGAGAAATCCTGACATAATGCGTGCCAGGCGTGGCGAATCTGCCAAGCTTGCACCTGCGAGGGAGCAGCTCTTCCGCACAGTGAGGCCAGAAGCCTTGATTGGGCTCTACGAGGTATCGGCAGCACCCACGTCGGGTGCATGTGGCACTGCGCTTCCACTGTGCTTGGATCGCAGGGACGCCGCAGCAGAGGCCGTTCCGAGCTTTGATCGCATGGCTCTGGTGGGCAGCGCCGGAGCCCCGGGCGAGATTTGGAGCTTAGGCTGTTAGACCAATCTGAGAACCGGCACAAGAAGGTCGTACCTGAACAGACCCAGCCAATTTTGGCTTTTCTTGCGCTGAAGCCACAAATCAGGTAGCATTAGCCATCGATGTCCCGAGCTCCGCCCCTTGGACTTTCATCAGGCTTGGGGTTTTCCCACGTCCTTCGGCTTCAGCTGACCACCGACTGGGTTCTGATTGACCTTTCCGCGCCTGCGTTGCGCTGCGGTGAGGTTTCTGGCATGTGAATCTCTGTTCTTCCTCCTGTTTTCTCTCCCCCCGCCTCGTCCGGCTGCTGCTGCTGCTTGCTCCCATGATCACGTCACCCAGGTGGTCCTTCGGGTGCCTGGTCCCCTATTTGTATTCCTACTCCTCCCGTTGTAAGGCAAGTGTTTCGTATTTATCATTTATCTTGGCCCCAACCCTTGAATGGGTGAAGGACCGCGCGCGGGATAATGCGGGGCTTCTGATTTCGCGGATGGTCAGGTTGACGGCTCCAAATTAGGCCGATTCGTCATTATGTTTTGCCGGATGGCCTGGCTCCCAAGGACGTCGATGCCGTCGCATTTACAGCGCGACCGGTTGACGTCATCCAATCCCTCCACGACATGGCGGCAGTGTTAAGACAAAAGGACCAGCAGTGTAGAGTCTCGAAGCGAATGCTAGTTGATACTCTTGGTGGTCTGCCGGATGCGAAGGAGCCTGAGTTGCACGTCCAGGTCATTGACCGTGCAAGGGTGCCCATCATCATGGCTGCTCTGCTGATTGCTCCTTCTTGTTGCGCAGAATAGTGCGTGGCATTGCGCATGTTTGGGAGAATACCTTGGCGAGGTTTCGACGAGCGACCATGTGGCTTCTCTCGACCTGTCCATCAACCGAAAGCTTCCAGCCCCATGGCCACAAACTCTTCTGAGGCACCAGAGGGCACAGCAAGGCAGAGGCAGCTTCCCAGGTCCCAGCATAAACATAAGGAAGTAAGGATAAGGAGGTGCTACTCGTAGTAAGAACGAGATGGCAGAGTGTTCGATGCCTGCACTGTCCGTGGAATGCGAAGCAATCGAGATCCGGCGGCATGAATTCAGCAGGGAAACAACAAAAAGGTGGGCGCGCTTGTTGAAGAGAGGAAGAAAAAGAGGAAGAAGAGAGAGCGATCCCTGTTTCTGTCGCTCTGGCAATGTCGGCTATGTTGGGCGCGGATCATAGTTAGGTAGTCACAGGTAGTCTTTTCTGGAGCACGCTCAGCATCTTTAGCTGGAGCAAACGTTTGGGTCGCGCGATCCTGATAGAGAGGACCTAGTTACAGGCAAGGCCCTCAAGGCTTGAAACTTTTGAGGGGTTTTCCGCCAACTGCTTCCAAGCGGGAGCGAACAAGTTTGCATGTATGCACAATATACAAGGCTTGTGTCCGAATGGCCCCAGAATGGGCTGCCCTCCACGAACACGATTTGAACTACTCGCCTGTTGCTGCATTGTACTGGTAGCGATTGTTCGAACAATCGAGCCGTCGCTATGTGATATAAGGACGAGCACGTCTCCTGGTTTCAGAACTTGCAAGTCTTCAAGGAGGAGCACGAACTTGCCACTCGGCCTTCAGAATCAGTGGCTGCAGCAATCTGGAGACGTCGTTCAGTCAAACTCAGGTGGTGGATTTCTTGAGATGTATTAAATTCTGGCACTCGCGACGCCAGATACCTGGTACGAAAGAGGGCGGTTATCCGATTCTGGCTTGGATACTTTTTGCAGTCCAACGGCTGCAAGACTTTGTGTCTCAAGAAGCGACATGCTTGAACAACTTGAACCACCTCCAGCGACTTCTGGCTGCACTGGACTATTTCTTCCAGTCCTTGGATTGCCACGCTGCAGCGGAACGGTCCTCGCACTCGCGGCTTTGGCCGTTCCCGTGCATCTTGGACCCTGTGGCGACAAACGCCGGAAATGCGGCCTTGACTCATGACATCCCAGTAGCAACGCAGCTTCTGTACGCAGACGAGTTCCTGAGAGCTCGGGCACTTGTGCGTGCGGCTGTCTCTGGTGATGGAACAATTGAAAGGCTCTTTGAAAACGAGTCCTCCACTTTGCTCCCAGCTGACGGAGCCTGCGGAGCATTCATCTTCAAAAGGCAGAAGATATGGCTTGTGGAGGTGAAGTCCGTGAAGCTGCGGGATAATTGGACTGCTCCCTTCCTCCATCGCTGCGATTCACAGACGGAGCTGCAAGGATGTCTTCTGAGTGTTGACGGCACGGGGGCTGTGCAGCGCTTCCCGGAACTGCGGCAGCGGTTAACGTTTACTCCTTCCGACTTTGTGGTGTGTGCACAGCTTGAGTGCATAGCAGAGGGCGCAGCAGGTAATCCCGGCAAGGCTTCCTCGGTGCCCTCGAGCATGCGGCTACCGCACTGTGACCTGCGACGATGGCAGGATCTGCACAAGTTGCTGCTGCTCATCCCATGACATTCTGCCAAGAGTCCCTTGGTTGTACGACATTGTGCGATTCCGGGCACGGCAAGTGAGCTTTGCTCACCATTGCCAGGGCCGGACAGGGCAAAAATGGCACCTGAAAGTGGGCACAGTCGTGCGACACAAGCCTATCACGTGTGTACGCCCTGTAACTATGCTTCCGTGCTTGTGAACACTTCGGCCAGGCTAATTCACGCTTTACACCCGCACCGATCCGTACTGTAGTGTCCGAATCTACAGGGTTGCAGAATCTTATCTGTCAGCCAAGCACGAAAGATCTACAGGTGGTGGGGCTTCGCCCAGCTGAAAGCTAACTGAAGCGCTAACTGAGCGCCTGGCTCAGCCTCTTACATCACCCCTTTCCGTCTTGCCGCCGCAGTTGTACAGGGTCAGTTTGTTGTGTTCCGTGCTTGCTTTCCACGCATGAGCAGATTTCGTGCTAAGTGGACTGTGATGAACACAGAAAGTGTCCTCTCCGCTTTGGCATCCTGCTGGAGCAGAATGCTGAACGGCTTCCCGACGGGATCCGAAACAAGGAAGGCGCTTGTAGACAGGGCTTTGGCCGGTTAGGTTACCTTGTAGTTCTACAAGTTTCTACCAGAAGCCGCAGCCCAAGGATGGGGGCCTGGGCATGTCCCAATACCAGAAAGGCTCAAAAGTCGCGCTTGGCAGTGCGCTGGTAGCACCTTTGGTTTAGTGCTTAAGTTTGTTTCCATAATCCAGATGCATGGCGGACGCGGTGTGCTGCCGCATCCACAATAAGCGCTCGCCACCGCCCTGGTACTGGGCGGCGAAGCGCGTCAAGAAGTCAGGCGAACTCCGAAGCTCTTCGTAGTTTTGCTTTGTGAATGCAACATCACGGGATGTCAGAAGAATGTCAAACGTACATAGGGCTCACACATGCGCCCCAGAGGTCAGAATCTGGCGGCGCAAGCCAACTCGTGCGGGTATACCTTGATGATGGGAGAGACGACAGCCGAGGAATACCCCAAAAAGCTTGAGGATCTCCCTTCCGATATTCTGGCTGCACTGGAAGGAAACCTGACAGAGGGTGTAAAGGATGTCGCAGAGCCGGGACATGGCTTGGCAAAAGGCAAGAAATACCCGGGCATTCGGTTTGCGAACGGGCGGTACAAGGCCCGAGTGATGTTCTCCGACCTGCGTATTGAGACTGCGAAGACGGGCTCACTGGTACAAGCCATCCGATGGATGAACTCCCTTAGCTCCCTGAGGTGCAGCGGGGTGGCAGGTGGTGAAAGTTTTGGAAGCTTGTAATTGTAAGCCGATTTGCAGCAACAAGTTGGCTTTGTATGGCTTCTGCGCTTGCGAGTTCCGAGGCAAAGCATGCACACGACAAGACAATCGCATGGAACCCCTGACAATGCAAGAGTTCTGCGACGACCCTTCGGCTGAAAGATGCGATATGTGCAGAAGTGCTGGGGCTGCCAGGTTCTTGTTCCCGGCGCTTCGGCATTGTCCGTGTCATATCATGTTCTTGTGTCATATTGAAGTCACTCACATGTGTATTGCCATACATCTACATCGCTGTAGCTGGGAATCCCTCGCGCCCAGTCCGACAAGCTGAGCTCAGCAGTACTAAACCGAGGAACATGCATGCCAGGAACGCCCCAAATCGATGTTCGCCCGACAGGAAGGCATGATAGGCTCTTAGTTCCAAAGTTTTTGCTGAGTTTGCACATGTGCACGCGGCAGCTTGTTGACAGCTGCGCGGTCTGCTGGAGAAGCGCGCGGTGCTTTGGCAGAACCCAAGACCCCCTTTTAGACCACTAGAAACATAAGATTCGTAAGTGAAGCCTCCTGATTCCTCAATTCGACCCCGCCTCCTGCAGTGCGTGTGGCAAAGCAAACCTAGCGAGGTAGTTGTGCTCAGACAGCATTTTAGCAACGACAGCTTTGTATCTTATCCGTTCGTTCTGCAAGGAGCGAGGGTACGACAAGAAAAGCCCCCCCAATTAGACTGCTGTGTTATGGTGTAGGTTTGCGCGCGAATAGAACAATTTGGAGCACACGCTTAAACATAAGTTTGCATTCTCTCACACCGTGGGCCCTGGGCATGCTACTCCTTCTCGACTGTCGCATTTTGACATGTTCAATGAACGATGTACTTTGTGGTTGTCTTTTTCCATCCTCACAGCGTAACATGTCTATCAGACACCTCATGGATCTTAGTGATTGCAAGCGGAGAGCAACGCGTGTTACGGTCACATAGGAGATGGCTGAGTCTGCATAATCATTATACATGCCGTGTTTCTTTTATCCTTTTGGCTTTTGGGGTTCTCTCGTGTTTGGTGCTGAGCGAGAGAAGCCCTAGAACACATAGAACGCATCAACTCCCAAGGGGCCATTTCTTGTTTTCGCGTCAGTCCATTTAACAACATCGCTGACTTCCCTTGTGGTTTCCACACACGTGCTCTTGGATGTCAACGGTTTTGCGCGCTGTCGTTTCATACCTGGGAACCATACAGGTCGACACGAACGCCCGACAACGCTGCATCAGTTGAAAAGATACCCTGTTTAGAATGATTGTGCTCTCCAGTGTTTGATTTGGAAAGAAACGTAGTGCACAAATTCAAAAGACATGCATCATGCATCAGGATGGAGGCTTTCCTGCAACTGCGTCCAGGGCTTTCGGGTTGTTTTTGCAGTTTCGTCTCTGCTTCCGCACCTATCCTTGGTTGCGCCGCCATTGTTGGCAATGTTTTGGGACGATGAACGCTGGCAGAGTCACGGCGAACTCAACAAACGCTCTCTACTTGTCTGAGGAGCTGGAGAATGAGCCTTCCCTGGACGTGCAATTCACTTCGCACTTTCAAATATCCATGATGAAGGATGGAAAGAAGACCAAATGCCGCTACAGCCACTTGCCTCAAAGCCCCACTTCTTGCAGCGAATTTGGAGACACGCTTGGGTAAGCTGCTTCCAAGGCACACCGGCGACCAGCAACCTCTCGCCTCCCAGCTTCCAGCAGTCCACAGCTTTTGTCAGCTTCTGTTGTGTTTGGCGCTGAGGTTGGCTCTTGAACTGCGTCGGGAGCTCCAATCGATCATGACAGACAGAAGAAATGCCGGCTTGAAGAAGGCGCAGAGTTGCGCATGCCTTTCATTGTCCGGTGATGCAATAGGTGGACTAGGACTGCGGGGGCGTGTGTCCAGTGCTGTTCAGTGAGCATCCCGTGCGACGCTGCGACGCTGCCAGCTCCGTGTTTACAAAACACAAGCATTCTTGTGCAAGCAAGCAAGCAGATGAAGGCAGGACCATGCCGCACCTTTCAGCATGCCAGGTTCATCGATTGACGGTGTTGTAAGACAGCTGAACCTCACCGGGCCTCGGCTAGCGCAACTCATTGCAGCCCCAGTGTCTGCAGACAGGCCACACCAGACCCCGAATTCTCCGTGTTGCCTGACCCTGCGCGTTAAACAAGATCTTGTATGATATGACTCTATTTCGGAGTAGGCTTGGACCATACGGTCAACGGGACTTTGTGTCCAACTGTAGTGCATAACCGTGTATAACCCTGCGCTACTGGCGCTTATTCAAGAAGTCGTGTCAATGAAGCTGACAAGAAGCCGTTTCAATGTGTACTGTCAGATGAAGATGTATAAAAATTAGCTTTGTTCCGAGCTCATCCCAAAGCGCTTCTCATGTAATTTGCGGCTTCCGCCAGGCAGTCTTTACCTGGCAGGCTGCCGCCTTGGCAAGAGTGCGTAAGGAGTACCTTGCTTCAACCTCTGAGAGTACATTTTGCTGAGAATTTGGCGTGCTCATTTTGCGGCAAGGTAGTTTGCAGCGGTGAGCTGAGGAAGGTCGCCCAACCCTTGCGTCAGAAGAAGCTTCTGGCAGCCGTCGCAACGGAGCGGACGAAGCGCAATTTCCAGGCACCACGTATTGACGCAATCTTCCTCATGCAGTCTCTGACCGATTTCTTGACCCACAGGTAGGTGCTCAGCTCCAGCACATCCTGAATGTGAATTTGGATGAACAAACTGCCAAGCACACGGTGGCAAAGCTCAAAGAGACTTGAACATTGAGATGCATTGCTCGATCTATTCTGTGCATTGTGCGCAGTAGCGCCTCAAGCACCCCTCCTGTGATCTCAGGATGCTTCTCCAGGAATTTTCGCCAAGCTACAGTCGTTGCTGCGCCAACTGGTGCGTCCATGCTCCATGCAGGCGGCAATGTTCTGGTAGATTTTTAAAGTGCTTCCATGTTTTTTCCCAACTGCTGTAATTCCTGTACATAGCCCTACAAAGCTGCAAAGCCTAGAAGCCTCTACAAGCCTTTGAAACCGGTCAGGCTCGACTCCGGCCACGGAGAACGCAGTTTTTTCCACCGCAAGCCCTGGAGTTCTTGACCCTGCGGGAGGCCCGCCGAGAAACAGGGCCCAGGGATGGCGGACGCGGAATTTGACTCGGACCTTTACTCTAAACTCACTTAACTCACTTGACATTTGACCGTTCGCGGGGGGTTCGATGAGGCTGTGTGCATCTCGTCGATGTGCATATCTTGCTACGACATTGCCTACGACACCATGCGGCCGGGCTGTGCGGAGCTGGGCCGGGGATGCAGGGTGCCAGATCGTTGCCGCGAAATGCACGAAGTCCCTGCAGGCTGCGCCTCAGGCGCTTCATCTTTACGTCCAGCTTTCTCGACCTCCCGACGCTTTCGCGTTCAGGACATCTCGATACATCGTGCATCCCAATCGCGGCTCTTAGGCCGCAGAATGCCCACGCAGCACTTGAGGACGGGTTGTCTCCTCGCCTGTGGCGGAGAAGCAGGTGCGAAGCCCAGTTGAAACGACGTTGGCACCTGAGTTCGGGACGAGAGAAGAGAAGTTTAATGACGAAGCCAAGGTGAAGCTCTTACTTGATATGCTGAGCGCACCGCACCTCTCATCTCTGTTTGTCGAGCTGGACCTGCGAAAGGCAAGCCTGCGTTGGGCAACATGTATGTGCGTAGAGATGAAGGGAGATGAAGGGTTGGATGTGAGTGGAGCAGCCAAAGGCGCCCTTCGACGTGGAATCGATGGACAAACTGGTTGTGGTATTGTCCCAACTGTCATCCTTGTCACTTCTGCAGCTGCGAAGTCATGGCAAGGATGGAGAGCCAAGCAGAGTCGACAAAGTAAACGCAGAAAAAACACCAGCCAGAGCAAGCAGCTAAGTAGCTTGAGCCGAAATTGTGGCGTGTCGGGTGTGGCGCAGGAGTGGACAAAGCTAAAGGCTCCGCGAATCTTTGCTGCGCTCCCGCCGGGGGCCACCCTGCAGTGCTACGATGACAGAGGTGTTGAGAGTTTCCAGGGCTGCCAAGCCTTTCCCGCGTAAGGGAATGGGATGTGCTGATAGAATCCACAGTCGCGCGTAAAGGGGTGTCGAGCTTATACCGAATCTGGGAGCCATGCGCACTGAGTTTACTCAGCAGCAACCACCCTGATGCCTGATCCATCCTCGACAGCCCCGAAGCCAATGCAGCTTCTGCCACTGTGTGATGCCTTGTCTAGGGGAGGGGGCGACGGTGCCCTCTTGATCATATTAAAACTGTGGCTAATGTTTGCTTGGCAGGTTGTGAAAACATCGGGGTGCTTGTGCAAGGCAGCATGTTTGGCATGTATGCGTTGAGCAGTCATGAGCAGTCTATCATGTAACTGTCGCCTGCAACAATTGTGGCCCAAGTCGATATCGAAACGCGAGCCCATGGTGAGCCCGCCCTGTCCCTCTGCGGGCTCATAGATGTGGCTGTCCGCCAGAACATGCCTGATCATTGCGGCTTGTAGTGTGGTTCTCGATGCTGCCGAGCAGCGCCAGAGGCATGAACGGCCCCACATCTTATTCCTCATGGTTGACGAGATGGATGGGCGCCTGCTTGACGATGAAACCCCCCAGTTCAAGCCACCGTTGCCGAACCTGCGGGCCCTCATGAAGAATGGGACATACTTCCCGAACACTTACAGCAATTCTCCTTTATGTGTTCCTGCCAGAACCTCAATGGTAACTGGAAGGTACAATTCGGATATTAAGATTTGGGACAACTTTGTTGGCATTGCGAATGTTAACGGTGACGACACCCAGATAGATCAAAGATGCCTGACGGCATACTCGCGCCGAGAATGCCTTGAGTTTGCGGCCTCACAGAACATCAACGGAACGTTCTTCGACGTTCTAGCGGACCAGGGCTACAACCTCACCCTTTGGGGAAAGGTCCATGCCGGAGGTGGTGTTGAACGCTTTAGCCGGCACATCTTCAACGACCCTTTTACTGGAACAGGTTTGGTCCGCGAGTCGGCCAAAGCCTGGACGCGGTCGACAGGTGTGGCCTCGAAGTTGCAAGACCCGACAGATTGGCTACAAAGACCGATCGATGTACCGAAGCCAGCAGAGAACTTCTTCGACTATCCGACTGCCGATGAGTGCACGCGCTTGCTGGAGCAAGGGCTCTTCAAGTCATCTACACCTCAGTTTCTTTATTGCTCCTTCGCCGTGCCACACCCGCCCTATCAGACAAACAGTACGCGTCTTGTGCCGCAGTTTGTTGATCTGTTTTTTAAAGGTATTGTTGAGAGTTGGCAAAGAGCTGTTTTAGGGGATTTGATGGTCTCTTGGTTGCAGCTTGTTTAGGTATTGGAATGCAGTCGGACCGCTTGGCAAGCATGCGATGCCCACACTGGTTCCACGGGACAAGCTGCACCCAGCCGATGAGTACGCAGTGCGATCCAAGCAGTTTTGGAATTTGGACAATTGCAAGCCAGAACACATTGAGCACTTCCGGCGTGTCTATTTTGCAATGTGCGTCGAAGCAGATCATTTGGTGGGAAGGATTTTAACGGCCTTCTGGGAGAACGTGGACCCTGACGATGCATTCGTCATCTTTGTATCTTGTCCACTGTGTTCAGCCTAAATCTAGACACGCGGGAGCTATTCTCAAGGCCCGTGCCAGGTGAGTCGAAAGCTGGCTCATTGACAGCTCGACATCGCTCTTGTTTGCCACCAGCTCTCTTCTTGGGTAGTGATGTTTTCAGTTCCATCTCCACCCCCCTCTGCTTGCCCCCCCTCTTGCGTCCCTTTCTGTGATTCTGTCCACGGGACCTCTATCAGTACTGCTTGGTTGCTTGGCCACAGATAACCTAAACCCCCCCAAAACGGATTTCCTTGCCATCCCAGTCAAATTGTGCCTAGATCCGAGTGCGCCGTAGCAACGTAGATCTCACAACAAAGCATTCCTGCAACAGATCTGGGTAACATGGAAGCCCAACATAAAGCCCATGTAAGCTCCGGCGAGAAGACGCCTCGCCCCAGCCTCTCTCCACTCCCGCTCCATGGGCCTAGTCCTCGACTGGCTTGTGGCGGAGGTCCACTACCGGCACCAGGGATCCACCCCAAAACTCAACCCTCCCTCAACTCTCGAACTCAACCAATGGCTCCAAACACGCCTCCGCCTGTCTGACCCAAGAAGCATACTGAAAGTGCATTTCCCTCAATGTTGTCAGATTCTATAGAGGTTCGGCTGATGATTTTGCCCAAGGGTCTTCGGGTTTCCGTGAAACTCCGGCAAAGCGTAGCCTCCACGAACAAGACCAGCGTGCCTGTCATACACCTCAGCCCTGAACCCTCTGTCCACAAAATGGGTCCACGGGAGTGGTGCGAAACGAAGCGCACCTCCCGGCAAAGAAATAGTCACGAACAATTTGCAGCAGCTACCATGTCGGTGCTTTCAAAGACTCCCAGGTATCTGACCATGGGGAGCTGAACCTCGAGCATCGGCAGTGGCAGAAAAGCTCCATGAAGGAGGCCTCGGCTCGCATCCCTCTAATTGTTTCTGAGGGGCGCTTGGAAATAGTTTTTAATTTTGTTAAAATTGTGGTACCATAATTTTCTAAGAAACAGCAAGATTTTTGATTTTTGCTGGGGTTCCGAGTTCAGTATAGGTTTCTGGTCCTGGTATGCCAAAAGGCCGGAGGGTTCAGTCACTTGCCTCCTTGAACGACATCTATCCAACGCTTTTGGACATCGCCGGGGCTGGCTCACGTGTGCCAGCAGACAAACTTGCGGGGGAGTCCGTTCTTCCGATTGCCCGTTGGGACCATAGGAAGAAGAACTATGTTGTTTCTGAGTACTACGACACTTTTTCAAGGACAGGGACCTTCATGGTGCGACAGGGCCAGCAGAAGTTAATAGTCCATGCTCCCCTGGAGAATGGGGTGCGCTGGCCAGCACAGCTCTTCAACATTGCCACGGATCCATGGGAGCTGACGGATTTGGCTGCTGAGCTCCCATCCGAGGTGAGCCGCTTAGAGGCGCTGCTTCGGAGGGAGTTCGACTTAGAAGCCGTGGACGCACAGAAGAAGGCATATGATCACAAGATGTTCATTAGCTACGTCTATCGCAGATATTCCGGGCCGGCTGGGTGCCAGAAGGCGATGAGAGTCGCCTTTCCCGGTTTCGATGAGGAAGACGCCAAACTTGTTGAGAAGTGGCTTGGGAAACCTTGCTGCAAGGTGTTGGACGGCCGCGTTCAGCGCAAGGCAAAGTTCCACACGCTGGCTTGCCCGTCAAAGACGGGCCAAAAAGTGCCTTCCTCATAGAGGTTGCTGCACAAGCCGTCAAGCAGCGTGTCTGCGCCAGCTGGACGTTTTGAAGTCAAAAAGAGACAAGCGCTGCAGCAAAGCATGTTTCTGAGCGGCTTCGCCATGCGAGTTTGTCACATTGGCTATGAGATCATGCTGCCAGGCTTTGCTTTCCATCAAGCTGTGGCCATGCGCAACTTCACGGTAGCATTCTCTGTGTAACGTAGGGTCAGAGGCTCGAAGGCCCGTAGACGTGTTGATCAAAGTTTGCTGTCACTTTTGAGTTTGAGAGACCGTTGCCTTGCTGTACTTGCAATGGCTTGGCCTCGACCCAGTAGATACAGTTGATGCTCTGCCCGAGAGGTCACGCGACTACTTCCGAAGGAAGAAAGCTTGGCCTCTTCTCGAGGCGTTACTGTGATGTCTGCAACGAGAAGGTATCGCGGCGAGGCGGAATTTACCACGAGTGTACCGCTGGTTGCGACTTCCGTGTTTGCAGCATATGCAAGAAGGAGGCCGAGAAGAGCAACTATTTTGTGGAGCCTTGCACTTTCACCTTCCCTGGCGGCCTTGGCCCTTTCAGCATTCAGCGAACGAGCCTCCAGGGCCCAGACCTCTTTCAAAGCGACCGTCGGGGGACTTGGATTTTGCACGAGGCATTCTTCCAACGCGGGCGAAGTCTAAAGAGATGCTGGCAAGCTCTGCTTGCGAACGGTGTTGCTGTAGAACTGCCAAACGGGCGTGCCGGCATCACCGTAGAGCTTTCGCCCATGGCTCCAACCAAGCTTGTCTCAGAAGTGCGCAGGGCAAACCGTATCCCTGATGTCGCCGGAGTGCTGGTCGCATGGATGTACGCTCTGCAGCTTGAGTGGCACATCATCTTAGGGGACTCCGACAGAGAGGAGGAAGATGGCACAGCGGCTGACTGGTCCTTTCTGACGGTTGGAGGCTTTGTTCTCCTGCAAACGGATGAAAACAAACAGCTCCAAGTCCTGTGCGCAAACTCTGTATCTTTTCATCCAAGTGGCCCGATGCAGTTTTCTGCTCCACAGCCGTGGTGCGCCGAGTGGACTCGCAAGCTCGCCGAAGCTGGGCGCTTCCAGAAGGTCACCGTCCAAAAGTGGGCCAGCGCCGGTGCCCGATACCTTTGCTGGATCTGCCCCGAGGAGAAAATTCTGAGGCCCGGAGCTCGGCACGGCGGCTTCGTCTTCCTGCTTCTTTATCCCCCTTGGGAATCATTTTTTGTTTTTTCAAATTTTTGTTTATATAAAACCCAAGAGGATATTTAAAACACTATTTTTTTGAGGTTCTGAGGGGAGTCTAGGTTTCACGATCTCGATGAGGAGGATGCAGGGGGCCGGGATCGCTTCTTTGAAATCGTCGGGGCACCTGTGACCAGCGAAGCTCGCACCCAAGAGCTCCTCTCGCAGATCCCCAAGCGGTCTTCCCAGCCGGAAGTTCTGCAATCTGCCATTCCGTTTCGAGTGGTGGGTGAGGTTCCTGCATCTTCCAAGCACATGGAGGACATCCGCCAGCGCTGCTTTAAGGCTGCATCCGACGGGCGCTGGTCCCTGCTGGCGCACATCTTGGTGGAATTCCCTCAGGTGGTACAGGCTCAAGACAGCGCAGGCACCCGGGGTCAGCTCTCCAGAAGCCCCTGACAAAAGGAACTTATGCAGTAAATCTTCAAAAGAGTTTCGAGCCCAAAGTTGCCCAAGAGCAATTGGTGGCTGTTGGATGCCGTATAGGCGTTTCTCTGAGGTCAGACGGTTCTCCACAAAATTGCCGTTGGACGCCCAAAGACGCGGCGAGCCACAGAACTCCTACGTCTGATTCACTCACATGGTGGGGACCTTGAGGCACAGGACACGACTGGGCAGCAACTCGGACGCAGAGTTACGGCCAGACAAGGAGTGGTCGATTGGCTGTTGACCCCCCCGTTGTGCATCGCATGGAAGCGTACCAGATGGGCCGAACACTGGTTCTTCATATACAAAGGACGCCTCGAAAGGGATTCCAATTTAGAACGACCCCCCCCGCCCATTTTCCATTGCAGCAGCTGTTGCATACTGAATTGCAGCTTCGGGTCTAGTCATGTCTCTTGCCAATTGGTCCCAAGGAAGGCATACAATCTGGGCGACCAAATTTTTAGAGCCCAAGCCTGTGAAATCTGGGGCCTCGTTCCTGATCTCTTTGCTGATCCAGAGGTGCACTTCGTGGCATGCTTGCATGTCTCGCATGACCTGTGTAGTGTAGACAGAGGTGCAGTTGGCAGGTTGAGCTGGCGAACTTGTTGCGAACTCATTTGCATCTTGATTGCGACTTGTGGGCCCTGAAGGTTTGGTTCGATTACTGGGACGCGAATAAGGATGGACATCTGTCTCCAGAGGAGTTGGTGCCTGCTCTCGCGGCTGCTTACCAGGTCGGCGAGCTTGGTCGACAGTGGATCGAGAGCTACGTGAACACTCACTATCGCGAGATGGCCGCACTCGACCCAAATGCTCTCCTCACCAAGTCTGCCTTCCTAGCGAACGATGGCCTCCTGCATAAGCTGCAGTCCAGTGAGGAGTTCATCAGTCTGCGTGGGCAAGAAGACAGTCCTGGCAAGAAGCTACCAGCTCTATTCAAAACAGAAGGTCGCAAGAAGCCTACAGCAGCCGACAAGGAGGCCGTAAAGAAGTTCAGCAAAGCTTTGGAAGATCTACGAACGAAGAACGGATGGGACCGGCCCGGCCATGCAGCGCCCTCCCATGCAAGGTTGTTGGAAGTGTCCGGGCCCTTCCCTGGTGGAGATTCGGACCCTGAACATCGCATGAAGGCGGCCAAACAGATGCTGGCATGGTCCTTCGCAAAAACAACTGCCCGAAGCGGGAAAGAGTGGATGCATGGCTTCAAAATACAGTTCACGGGAGATGACGCTGGTATCGACCATGGGGGACTGACGAAGCGCTGGGTGCAGGAAGTGGGCCATGCCTTGTGGGGGAGCGAAGATTTTTTCGATACGAAAGCCTCAGGCAGCTTCTTTAAGCCCGACAACATCTCAGACATGCGGATCCATGCCTTCCACGTCAAGGCCCAATCTTTATACCGATGGGTGGGCCGCTTTCTTGCATACGCCTTGTATCAAGGCTGTGTCTTGGACTGTGCTCTGAGTCCCTGGGCCCTACGCTGGCTCATCCGCGTGATCGAAACCCAAGCTGCGTTGCCCCCGGCCCTGGCGGCCGTGGCGGGAGATTGGCAGCGGGAGGGCGAGGACGGCCGCATCGCCACCATCTCGGGAACCATCCTCCTGAGCCATGCAGACCCTCGTGCTCGGAGTCTTACGTAGTATGCTACACATGCTTCTCAGTTTCGTGAAGATTTCTTGTACGCGAGGTGTCACAGAAGATTGTTGCGTGCATTTTCGTGCCTTTGGCTTTTGCATTTCCTCGTCATGCCTGTTCGTCGCCTGAGTGTTCTCTGCACTGCCAAGGATGAGAGCGGCCTGCCCCCGCAGATTGCGCTGCAGGTAGCACCAGGTGCCAAGTGCCGGAAGTTCCTAAATCCTGAAGAGTGAGAATCCAAGATTGAAGACCCGCCTTGCTTGTTTGGCAGGTGATGCCATCCAGGCGGACTTTGATGGAGAATCTCTGAAGGCAAAGCTCTCACACGGTCGGCTGCGGTGGAGCGATGGTGATGTGTGGGTTCGATGCTTCGACTGCCCCGTGCCTCGCCATGCTGCGTTGCCTGTGTGGGATGATACGCCGACGGGTGACGACCAACTTTTAGAGGATCTCGCCACTATGGATCCAGCCTTTGCCAACAGCCTCTGGAGAGTGAGACACGAAATGCCGGACGAGGATTTGCAATGGCTGACCTTCTCCTACGCTGGCAGGGAGCTTGTTCCAGGAGGTGATGACATCGAGGTTTCCCCCGAGAACAAGGCAGAGTATGTTCGCCTCTGTTGCAAGGCGGCCCTGTTGTACTCATCCCAAAAGGCGCTGCAGGCATTCAGCGATGGCTTCTTTGACGTGCTTCCTCCGAGTCTCTTCGACGGAGCTCCGGCAGACGTTTTCCAGTGGCTCCTGCTTCTGGGTCAGTGTTGAAGATCATTTTGCATGTTTATGAATGCTTCAAACCCAATCATGATCATTTTATGATAGTACCCAACCATGGTGCAGGCTTGGCGATGCTCAGATTACAGATGAGCAGGTCGAGAAGCTGGAGCAGGTTCTCGTGCCGGATGGCCTGGTCCCAAAGCACCTGAAGGACACCAAAGAGCTCCAGACATCTTTGGCTTGGCTCTTTCAGATCATACGGAGGGGCGACTCCAAGTTTAGGCAGGCTTCGGTCTTCGGAGTCCAGTTCCGTGTAAACAGAGATGTACAGACGTTTGCAGTTGGGAAAAGGTTTTTCTGCCCGCGTCAGGTCAAGACTCCTGGAATTCTGGACTGGGAGTGATCGCTTACCGCTTGGGGGCGTTGAAGCCATCGAGCCGAAGCCCAGGCTGCAGGTGATGATCTCGCAGGAGAAGCCGCTGTTTTGCGCAGCTTCGGCTTGATGAGAATGTTAGGGGCAGCAGGGGTCTTCACTGGAACAAATCGGCCCATGAGATTTTCGGCCAGCACAGCAAATGAGAATAAGCTCGTAGCTGTCAGAGCAAGATCGTGCCCTCATGGCATCAGGCGTCAGACAGCTTAGATCAGAGGGGACGAGGGTAGGGAGTGGAAAAAGATAGGGAGAGGGATAAGGAGGGGGAGAGGGAGCAACCACAGCAGAAGAAGAAGAAGAAGAAGAAGAAGAAGAAGAAGGAGACGTTCGTATGAGGGCAGGAGCAAGAGCCGAAGAACAATCCTACAAGATGTCTGCAAAAAAGTCAGCGATAGGACAAAATCAAGATGAACCAAGCAATTAGTTCCCACAATCAACAGTTCATTGGACGCGTTCATGTTGTGGTCAATCACTGCCTTCGAAACTACGCCACCAATGTCATACAGCAAAAGCATGCTATCAGCTCAAATGCAATTTTTTGTTTCATCTCGTCTCTTAATATAACCGGATCACAACTCAGACATGTCTGTCTGATCAACATGGCATCTGTGCTGCAGGCAAACTTCGCGTGGGAAGTGCAATTGCCAAATGGCAACTGGTCGTCGTACAGCCCCGAAATCAGCGGAAGCCTCAACAACATCCTTGAAGCTGGTTTGAGGCGCGTGCGGAGCATGCTTCCGGCAATTGCGCCGAGAGAAGTTTCGTGAGCATCTATGGCAGGATGATGGAGTTCCAGGTTGGCCGCAACATGTATGTCATAGACATCCGCCCTTGGGCTGAAGGGGAAAATAGTTTTTCATGCGTAGCATCTCTGGACATGCACCTGCCTGTTGCCCTCGGCACTTCGTCTCTCGGTCGCCCTCAGGTGCGAAGGTTCAGGTCAACCGCCGGACGGGAGAGCAACGTCGAGTTCGACGCAGAAAGATTGAGTGGCTTTCCGGAATTAGGAGCGTCTGTGCCTAGATTGCGCGATGATGTCCTGTCTCGCACACATACAGGGAAACATCGAAGCCGCAAGAAAAACGGTTGGGCAAGCTGAACTCCGAAGTAGCAACCCTGCACCGAAACACCAACAACCACAGCGGCCCCCCAAGCTCACCCCAAATGGGTACCCTCAAAAGGATCTAGGACCGAATGCAGTAGGAATATTGGGGGATACCCAAGAAGGTCCCAACATCCCCAGCCCCCCATTGAACCGCTGCCAAGCAGCACGTGCCAGAAGCTGACTGTCCCATCTATAACCACTGAATGAAGTCATAGCAACCACCTCCCTGCCCTCGGAAACAGCTGCTTCGAGCACATGCGCAGTGAAGGAAAACCTGCGTTCATGAGTGGTCGCTGTGAAAAGGCACTTGTTTACGATAAGCTGGCCTCAAGCCCTTGAAAAACAACATCCAACCCCCGCGAAGTGAATGCGACCCTCTCTTGGCTGATTCCCTCGTGCCCCCCTTGTGGGGCAGTACCCATCAAAAACGGATACCGCTGGAGTCAGTGGAGTGAGTGAATTACAAGCAAACCTGCAAACTGAGCATGGATGCTGATGAGCGAACGACGCTGGCAGTGGTGAAGAGGACCCTGCGCACTTCGTGCCTGCTTCTGAAAAGGTTTCCCCAAAGAGGAGACCACGCACGTCCACAAGTTTGTCAAGGTAGAACAAGACAAACACCCGAATGTGTCAGACTTTGCTGTGCTTCAGTTTTGAGTTGACTGCGCAGGATCGATTCGTGGCCCGCAACTCGCCTTCCCGAGGGGCAACGCGGCGAAATTGTGGCACAGAAGCGCCTGTCAGGTATGCCACGCCAGTCCAACCCGACCAATCACATTGTCAGTGCATGTGGCCTTGCACAGCACATGAAGTCACAAGCTACGCTTGTTGGGCCCAGAGACTTGACAAAGCAAAAACACCACTGACTTGTTTCCGCCATTTGGGCATTTCCCAAAATAGGGGTATCTATAATATATCCCAAAATACTAGACTCCATATTCTAGGAACCCCCAGAAAAAGGGTACCCTAGCTTCGGAAGCCCCCCATTTTGAAGGCACACTTGTGGAAACGAGCTCTGGATTCCGCTCTGCGACTCCGAGGAAGACTTGGCCAAACTCTCAGCCGCCTCGACTTCGCATGGACATGCACGCTCGTTGTCTCACAACTACAGTAAGATTAAGACTGTGTATCCCACGGGGTGGCTGGAGCATGAGCCCGCTTCTTTCAGCCATTCGGTTCGGAGCAAACGCGGGCCGATAGTTGTTTGATGCAGCTTCCTCCATACATCAGCCACTCGGCATGCCTAACGCATTTAGAGGGGTTGCTCCAAACAAACCCGCCCCGAATTTCTGACAGAAACCCAAGGACGAACCTCAAAAGCGGGCATTTTGTCAAGGCAAAGCCTCTATCAGCTGAGGCCATGCTGGGCGGTCCCCATGGCTTTCATCTTTGGCTAGTTTGCAGCCGAGCCCTCAAGCTGTTGAGCACGGATGCCGTTTCCGTGCAGCGCTGTGCCCACTGGTCCGAAGTGCCCAGGTTCCATCTTTGATCAGCTCTCGGCGAGCAGCATCTCTGCGCAGGATTCACAGAGGCCAAAGCCAAAGCCTCAGCAGCCTCAGCGGCCCTTCATCTCACGCCTTAGCCATGCAGAGCCCTTCACCCCTAAGCTTGTCCCTTCGCTTCTGCCCCCGGCACTTTTTTAAGAAAGGCGAGCCGCTGTGGTGGACTCCCATGGCTCGGCCACCATGCGTTCCTTGATGCGCCAGGAGGTCGAAACATGCCGAAACACTGAAGAGAGGTCAGATAGGTATGAAAGGAATGTGTTCAGGGCTCATGGAGCCTTCAGAATAGCAAAAATGGGCTCGTTGCCATGGCTCTAGCGGAGCATGGCTTTGGACACAGCATGGTGCAGCCAAGATGGCAGGACCAAGGCAATGCAGAGGACGACGACCACGAGCCAGGCAATGTTGATGGACTCTGGGCGAGGTCGGCCACAGTGAGTGCTTCTGTGCATCTGCGCAGTTCTGTTAGCATTACACTGACCACCTCATGTACACCGATACTGCGATCTTGATGATATGTAAGTACATTCTCATGTATTTCTGCATGCGCAGGTTCTTCGGTGCCACTGGCTCCTCATCCGATTAAATTGTCTTACGAACATGTTGACTTGTGTAAGGTTGCATGCGGATAAGGGCCGTGGCTTCCTTGGCATGGATGTGGCACGCAGCGAAGGTTCTTCTGTTTCAGATCTGGTCGGCTCATCCGCAGATTCTGTGGCCAATGCCACAGATGCACATGCGAGCACAACGTCAAGCAATTCAAGCTCTGCTCAAAACGCCAGCAAACTGGCCAACGCAACTCTTGGCGTCATTGCCAAGCTCACTTCCGCCAACATCTCGGAGACGACCTTCTCTGATGAGGCACTGCTGCAGACCCAGCACACTAGCAAAATGACCTACAACCACGTGAGCAACTTTACGAAAGCCGGTGTGCGCTGCAGGACTGTGAAGACACCTGGCAGCCGGAGTGGAGCTCGAATATTCCGGAGGAGAACTGTCAAGAGTGGGTTGCTCCGCTTGACAAGATCTCACTAGCATGACTAGCATGATAGCCAGCTGAGCAGGCCCAGCTTTTGTTCCGAGGCACGCGACAGTGAATGGGGAGCTTTGTCAAGCGCTACGTCCCTCAAAGTTGCATGTAAAGGCGGGGGCGCTTCAATAATCTGCAAGAGATGCTTCTTGATGGATGTGCCGCGAGACTGATGCATCAGAGGCTGCTTACCCTGCTTACCTGCATTTTCCCGCTGGAGGTGAGTGGGCCCAGAAGAACTGCATGGCTACCTGTGGGTGTGAGGCTGGGTGGGCATTATCGTCTTGCAGTGCCGTCACATGCAATCACCCCGAAACTTCACTCACTCGCGGCACTCTAACAAAGTCCCATGTCACAGCCGAGCAGCTGGCACACTTAGATTCCACAGAACTTGGACACCCCCAGACGCAGGAAAGGGAGGGCCACGCAGCACAAGAGGTTGTCTGCGGCATACGGGCCTCCCATTCCACAAGAACAGCATGGCTCTTGCACGTGTTTGCGTTTGCTGCCTATGGTTGCGTATCTACACATCGCTCGCAATATGTCGCAATCTTGCTTAATGTAGCTGATCGACCAACTCTTGCAGTTCGCGTGCGTTTCCTGATTTGACGCCCCGTTGCCTCGCTTGATTTTTCTGCCAACAACTTCCAGCGCAACGCATCGAGAATTGGGGACATCCCGACACATACTGCAGAGTGGATTTTCCCATCTTTTTGTCGACGTACGCTTGACCTTTGCCATCAACACCCGACCCACTGTGACGCCGCCAAAGGGTTGCTTGAGCAACGCGGCTTCTTGAAAGCGCCATTCTCCTCTCCAGCCACAGCCACCTTCACCATGGCAGCCCAGCCCTGATACGGTGGCCCGACATCTTCCAAGGTGAAGTTACACGTGGCCTCCGGAGTTTCGCTGACAAAAAGCGAATCTTGGGTGACCACCACGGTTCAGAGCAGATCTCTAAACTATGATGTGAAAGGAGGAAGAGAAACTTGCCCACCATGGGTTTTCAGTTTGCTCCTTGCGGGGCTGCTGCATCACGCGGGCATGGCTCTAACATGCTCTAACCAAGCTAGGCATCCAAGTTTGAGCACCTACGATTCAAGTGTGAAAGCAAGACGCTCCGAGCAACATGTCACGTTGAAGCCTCCCCAACAGCATGCCATCCAAAAACGACAGCATTGCACAACCCACCGCATGATTCAAATGCAGGTCGTGAAGAGCTTGCAGCTAGACAAGGCTATCCACGAAGCGGCAGGAAGGCTTGGCTATAACTCCCAGTGCCTTGGCCACTTCTGCTTTTGTTCTGCCTCTGACCCCTGACTGTTGAAGCTTTGCACGCTTGCGTAACAAAGGGAGGACTCTCAGTTGCAAGACCTCTTGGATGGTATGGACCTTGCCGCCAAGAAGTCTCTGGTGCACGTGCTGCACCCTCGCTGCAAGGGAGTGGCGGACAAATTCTGTGAAGTGTTAGCACAGGTCCCCTTCTGTTCAGTGCAGCTAGTGCACTGATGACAGTAACTTCGGCACTGAATCCAGCAACCATGGCAAGAGTCATGCGCAAGTGACCTTCGATTTGGAGCAATGCTGCCGATGATTGCTGCGTCTGTTGAGGGCAAGTTCTTGGTCATCCAAGAATACTACGGTGCCGTGGCATGTGTGCAAGTGATATTCAGTTGTTGCACCAGGGCTTTTCCGGCCTCGAAAACTCGTGATGTGCGAACTGTACCAGGTGAGTGCAGCACCCGCCACCAACACAACCACGACGTCAACCACCAGCACGCCTGTTCCTGTACATGCAATCCTTGACTTGGTGTCTGAGATGGGGATTGACTCCAAGCAGCTGGCCATGAAAAGGCAAGCAGTTCCTTGATCTACATCGAGTTTGCTAACATGCCTTCAATGTACAACCAAAGCCAAAGCCAAGGCAGGCTGCTAAACTCAATACAACACTGCAGCTCATCGATCCAGATCACTATGACGACATTGTTGAAGTTCTGACGCTCGGCCTGTGTTGTTTCAAGATACGCATAATGCATCTGCAAGTTTCGCAGCAGCCCTGATGGTAAATGACATGCGATGTACGACAATGTGAGATGTCGCGCTGCGCCTCTCGTATAAGGAAGCTCATATGGCGGATTCGTGCCGGCACCTCCACTTCGGCACCTGTGACGGAAGAGGACGTTCTCCAGATGGCTGCGGATGTGGGCTTAAAGAAGGAGCAACTCTGATGAAGAGCACATGGTAATACATGGGCAGGTAGATGAACACAGTACCAGCAGTGTCTCACAGTTGCACCTGGGGGCCTCGGCAATTCTATTGCAGATGTCGTTTGCCAATCACCGCCGAGGGACATCATTGCCATAAATGCAACCCTCGATGATATCAAGCCGGAGCTTCACGATGAGATCTTCACCGCAGTGAATGCAGCTCGTCAGAAGTTTCGCAGGTCGCATCTCAAAGCCGTGCGCGGCAGAAATCAGACCAATGACCGACTGAAGGAAACGGCAGGCCTGGTTAAGAGCATTGGGGCTACTTGCCAGCAATGAGGAGCTTCATCGCTGCACAGTGCGCACATGACTTTTGCAGAATCCAGATTATCCAGAGTTTGCCAACGTGGTGTCTAGAGTCTAGATGTTAAAATTCAACCCGTCGCATCTTTCTGTTGAGGTGAAGAGGCTGCATCCTCAGTTCTCCGGGCCCTTCGTGTTCTCGTGTAAGGTTTAAGACCACCCAGCCGCATCGAGGACCGGAAAAGCCATCGTGCGACACCTGAGAAATTTGAGCAGACCCAGCCGGGACCTCTTGCCCACGGCGGACGAGCAGAATGAGTTCGTAATCCAAGCGGACCTCTGACCCAACTTAGGGGCTTGAGATTCGGCTTGAGATTCGGGTCTTTGTGTTGGGCACTCCGGCCTCCAATGGTCCATGCCCCATGGGCCCAATAAATATCTCCTTTTTTCCCCACCCTCGGTGTGGGGTTGTTAGATTATCGCCCGGAACTCTTCTCCTCGCCCGGAAATCTTCTCCTCGCCCAGTCTACTCCTCGCTCATCCCTGGAGTGCCCAACCCCAAAGTCTCCCTGGAGTGCCCAACCCCAGAGCCTTTCTAGAGTGTCCGTGCCCAGCCCCAGAGTCTCCCTGGAGTGCTCAACCCCTGAGTCTCCCTGGAGTGCCCAACCCCAGAGTGTTGCCCAACCCCAGAGTATCTCTACCAAGAGAGGTTGGGGATGTTCGAAGTAAAATGTTTTTTTGCGATAGCCTTTTTTCTCACTACGCAGCCAAGGCTACGCCAGAGTCACGCCAACGCTACAGAGAGAGGTGCCTTAACTTAATGCAAGACAGATGGAGGTTACCAGCGGAAGGCTCGCTTGATGACGGACACGTGCTGAGGCAAGGGGAAGAAGCCCGTGGATTCCATTTCAAGGCTGCTGGACAACACTTTGTAGCAAAAGGCACCGAGACCACCCGATGGTACTGGCTGCTCGCACAGGTAAGCCTTCCGGTCCAGCGAATCGTGTCCTTCATTGAGTCCAGGGCACAGGTTCAGATCGAAGATCCTAGGACCGGAGCCACGTGACATGTAGTCCGAAGTCGTCAAACCCTAAACCTTGCAGTAAACCCAAAACTTGTGGGAGAAGGTGGCAAAAGGCTGCGGGAGAACCGAAGCACACGTCATCACATCTGCTCAAGTTTTAACAGTGTAGGACCTTGAGCTTGGTCATCGCGCGGCTGGCATTCAACTGGTGGCCTGGATGCAGTCTCCACCGGTGAGCAGCAGTAGCCGTGCTTCATGGCCTGCACAAACCCCAACAGAGGCCATCTCATAGCTGCTCCAATGACGAAAGTGGCTTCACGGACCGAGTTGTGGGAGGGTGGGATCTGCAGATACTAGCCCAACGCTTACAACGACCTCAATCGGGGCAGAAGCAGATTCTGAGAGTTAGCACGTGTGTACATTCAAACAGCTGACGGGCCATGATGGGTCCTGCAGTTCTTCCTCGGTAGGTCTCAGTGGAGGAACATAAATGAATATATGTGTTGAAGTGGGTGAAAGGCGTGGCATCCTTGCCCTTTCCAGGACTACAAATTACTCGATTTTCGTGCTGGAGAGGTCACAAACGAAGGCTCCGACTGCGTCTCAACTGCACGTTGACAGACTCGGAATTCGGTTCCAAGCTTACAACTGCCCTGCCACCAAACAGATCAGCCCTTGAAATCTTTGATCTCCATCCGCTTCTTCCAGAGCGCTTTGGAACTGCTATCTCCTCCTATGATCTGAACCTCCAAACCTGAACCTTCAGACCTCTGCGGTGTCTTCGATTTGCGTTGTGCATTTCAGGTGGGGCGCTTGCTGCTACCAGCGTGGACAGAAAAGGTGAGACGCGCTTGCCGAAGACGGGATATCAGGCTTGGCGCATGCTACCACCGGGGCAAGCTTGCACAACTGGCCACAAGTAGCCTCTGTATGAAGGATCTCTTTTGGTTGGCAGGAATGCCCTGATCTCAGCTGAGCAGCAGAGAACGAGTCGAGTCTCTAGCTGTGGTATTTGTTTGTGGCGCGCGTCTTGGTTGGCAGAGGTTCGGGAGCAAGTACGTCAACAGCACGCGTGGAGCGGAGGTCGAGGGGCGAAGATACTGAAGACATATTTACCGAGCCTGAGTCCCGTGGACAGGTGGCGGTGAAGGTTTCTCAGCTGGTCTTTCACGAATTCCGTGATAACGGCGACGTCATCGAGTACAGCATCTTGCTTCGACAGTGGGCGGTGCTAGCTTCCAGCAGAGAACTCACGTAGCAGGGAGGCTTCGAAATAAACCATTCCGAGCTGGTGCATATCGTGAGACCTTTCCTCCGTCAGCAGCTGCATCTCCACGTTGACAGGTCCCGATTATCTGTGGGCTTGAGGCATAAGCAGAATTCAAAGTAATCGAAAGGTTCAGATGTGGGGTGGGGAAGGTTCGGATGCAACGGCTTTCTTGTTGGTCGCACCTTGAACCTGAGATGTGCGTATGCTGTCCAGGTATTTGTGGTCGTGGATCATTGACTTGGAAGGAGCCGTTTTGACCGCATTCCTGTGGGCGCAAGCGAAGAGATTGACACCTGCACTTCCTTCCACCATCCTGGCAGGATCAGCATTTCTATCTTGGGTGTCCCAAAGAGATGCCGCTGCAGATCTTTCACCCAGATGGCTGCTTAGGGCACCCTGCCTGTGATTATTGTGATGCAGTAGAGACCCTACCCGTAGTGGCGGCGCGGACTTCAGTGTACTACGTCGTCCTGACGGTTACACTTCTGTCGCAGTGTTGTGCCAGAGTTCTTGCGAGTTTCTTCTTGTCTTCTTGCATAAGGCGAGCTGTCAAGCTTTGCCACGGCAACGTGCCATCAGATGATCCCGTTGTTCAGTCAAGATGCAGCTTGGACAAACCTGCGAAGCGAAGCCTCCATGCAGATGTTGTGCAAGAAGTTGCGAATAACCCGCGAATTCTAAATTATCGTGAGTATACTACGTACATCTCTGTCATTTAGTTCGTTGTGCAGTCTTTGAGGCTTTGAGATTTGAGAGCTGGCGGCATGCTGCCTTGGGCTGCTTGGCCTGCGGCGCTCCATAGGCGAAAAGCGGACTGGCGAAGACGCGGATGAGAAGCGGCAACAAAGCATGGCTCAGCTTGCAGACCCTGGTGCATGGAATTCCGTCTTTTGCGACTATCTTTGGAATTCGGTTCTGTCACTGGCTTGTAGCGGAAGCGGTTGCGCTGAGGAGAAGCTCCTGTACACAGCAGTGATGAACTTCGAGGCCAG